TGTTATGCATTGAAAAGGATCTGCCACTTACGATCCTGGGACGCGTATCAGGTCAGCTTTGTCTTGTGTGGGCTGTACCAGATTGCTGTTCACTTCTCTATCTGTGGGATATGTGACTTTCTGCAAGTTTCTGGTGTATGGTGGCCACTTCCTTGCTTGTCACTTTGTATGATATTACATTCTGTATTCGCTGCTTCCATGGCGTGGTCTGCAAACTGCAATCCCAAGTTGAGCAAATGTCATGTTTGCTATGTTGTTCTTTGGCCGTCAGCTTGTTTACACATTGTACAGTCAACTTTGCGTATAACGACACTCGGCGGGCCATCAGAAAAGTGTCCTTATTCGCGAAGTGTCGTTATACCAGAAGTCCCATCATATGATTGTATTACAGTTGGATGGGACTTTGCTCTGGGCATGGAAATTCTGTCGTTATTCGCGAATTGTCATTATATCCGCAGTCGTTATTAGCTAAGTTGACTGTAGTTGAATTATTTTGTTTCACAACTGACTTTCTCAAATACGGTGGCCACTGCTTTGCATGGCATTATAATTATTATATGAAGAATTTCCTGTTTGTTTCGTGTGCATGTGCGTGGCCACGTGTGTGTGTGCCGTGTGCATACGCATGTTTGTGTATATGTGTGCGGGGTAGCGAGGCGGGGAGGGCTGGTATGTATCAGTGTGTTATTGCAGTCTCATGGCTACATACAGTACATCGCGCGCGTGGTCATCATCTTTACCTTCGGGGCTGGGGTGGGGAGGGAACGGAAAAAGAACTGAAACTATCCATATAAAAACCGCTCTGTGAGCGGTTCTGAAAAACCTTTACTGGTACTGCCCCGTCATAAAAGTAAGGAATTAGAATTGGCCCATTGTCCCCCTAAATGCGAACTGATCCATATAAATCGCGAATGACGGGACCCGAACGCACCAGTAGCACGAGGTTCCTACCTGTGGATGCAGATGGGTACGTTGGTCAGGACTATAGGCCATGTACTGTACTAGCGGTAGGTGGTGTTACCCTATGATAATTGCTGTCCTGTGCCCTCCCGACCTCGTGCTACTGGTGCGTTCGGGTCCCGTCATTCGCGATTTAGGTGGATCAGTTCGCATTTGGGGGGTCAATGGGCCAGTTCAAATTTCTTACTTTTATGACGGGGCAGTACCAGTAAAGGTTTTTCAGAACCGCTCACAGAGCGGTTTTTATATGGATAATTTGTATAATTATAATAATAGAGTGGCTACGATAGTAAAGATCATTATTCCCGTAGCTATGCAGAAGACGTTACATCAGTAACGTCTGGCGCTATCCCGTATCTGTCCGGTACCGTACCGTACCATCAAACACAGTTGGCCACAAACAGCTGGCCGCACTATTAAAATAGGGCTTTCAAACGCAAGATCATAACGTGAAGCAACTTAGTAGTAGTAGTAGTAGTATTTATTATTTGACTAGGGGAGTCCCAACAGGCATGGCCTTGTTACAGGGAACCCTAGGTGAATCTTTGTGAGGTGAGCAAAAGTACCAGCAGATTGTGCCTGACGACAGTTTGGAGGAAGAGTGTTCCACCGACCTGCCGCCAGAAAAGAAACTGAGCGCAGTCCATACCCAATATGTACAGTAGGTAATACTAAGGCAGCTGTATCCTGGCCACGAGTACGAGCATTTGTGTGCGGGCCAACTGAACGCAGGAGAAACAGTGACTGAAGGAGGGGGCTAGTAATTGATGACAAGCAGCGATAGACCAAAACGTACACAACTTGAAAGAATGAGTATGAATGCGAAGTGTATGGGGGAATATATGTAGGGCGATAGTGCGAGTTCGAATCCCAGGTAATGCCTGAAAAAATAGGAGAATCGAAAAAATTATAGCATCCCTATGCTTTTTTTGCCGTCATCAAGGCGGTAGATGGTGCCGTATTACCCTCGACCGTACCTGTCCGGTACCTATCCCGTACCGTACCGTACAATCAAAGACGGCTGGCCACAATGCATAATTATTCAAATAGGGCTTTCAAATACAAGATCATAACGTGAAGCAACTTGGAAGAATTAGTATGTATGCGAAGTGTATCGGGGGATGCATGCAGGGCGATAGTGCGGGTTCGAATCCCGGGTTTAATATAATATGCTTAAAAAAAAAGTAGAAATTTATCAGAATTTATAACATCCCTATGCTTCTTCTTGTCTAGGTCATCAAAGCAAACAAGCATAGCGTAGGGCCCTGAGCTTCCAAGCGCTCTCGTTTCTACCGAAAAGGATGCAAGCATGTTGGGGCTAAGCAAACGAACCAAGTACAAAACACTTTGAACACCAACCTGGGGATAATGTAACGGAGTTCAGCCAGGTGTGAGCAGCACAGCATGGCAAGTGGGAACGTGAGAGGCCCGGGAGGCATGAAATCCGTCCACTCCCTCACCACACCGCACCTCAATGTCGTCATATAACAGGCATTCTTCTGTTTCCATGATACTGCTGGAGCTTAGGAAGAAAGTGGAAGTGTTGACAAACAAACACACTCAGAAAATATCCCCGTTTTGCCCGCATTATGAGCTTGACTCTAATCGGTGCGGTCTTGATCGCTAAGTTGGTTGATTTCTATTCTACTTCTCGCATTCAAGCTGGATGACAATGCAATAAAATGATGGCGACAGCTTAGCCTAGAAGTGGCTATGCAAGCACATAGTAAAGGCTATGCAAGCACATAGTAAAGGCTACGCAAGCACATAGTAAAGGCTATGCAAGCACATAGTAAGAGTTCAGATATCCGTTTTATTATCGTCGTCACGTTGTAGGAAGTTGGTTGTTCCAATTAAGGAACACGCGCTTCCTGCCGAACTTGACACTTGACTGACTCAGGACTGCCATCCGGAGCACATAACGTCATAAGGAGCACGACGCACTATGCACTCGGCAAACCTGCAAGAAAGCACCAATCCCTGCTCAATTCACAATGTTCCGGGGAATTGATCCCTCATCAGTTGAGCTTGAGTAGGCTGAGGTGGATTGTGCATGAAAAGCACCACTCTCCAGGCGAAACCACCACCAGAGATACAAACGTACAGATACGCTTTGTTTCCGGCGCCACAAACACCTAGGTAGGCCCAGGTAGCAGCGTGAGTCGCTTATGGTGTTATGTTAAACAGATGTTGAGAGGCAGTAGCTACTCGCAGTGCTGTCACCTCCGACTACTAGTCGCACGTCCGCGAGAGGGACAACAATACGAACTTAGACGTTGCGACTTCGGCGGTATTTGTCTTGAAGTTGGGTGATCCAACGAGGAACACACGCTTGCTGCCGCACTTGACACTGGACTGGCTCACGGCTGCCAACCGGAGCACACGACGACCACATCGCACCTTCTGTAATGGGTAGCCAGTCTCTCCGGAGGCGTGGGTTCGAATCCCACCGATGCCACCAATGTAATGGGTAGCCGAGTGGTAGGCGCGGTGAAATCAACACGAATTACTTTTATTCTACTTTCAGGTACACACCTGAGATATAATCGTTAGTGAAAGAAGAAGCGGCAAAATAAATAACTTTCTCTCCGGTGCTCACCTAGAGGTTGAATCCTTATTCTTCGAGTTAGCTTTCATTGCTATCCAATCTAATCTAATCTAATCTTCTCTTCATCAAAACAGAAATGCGCAGCCGCTTATATGCAGCAGACGCCGTACGCTTACATACGGAGATACACTAAATATACATCAGGCAAAGCTCCGTATTAGTTCCGTACTGCTTCCGTATTGGTCGGGCAGGGATACTACACTTCCACTCGGGAAATCTGCAAGAAAGCACCACTCCCTGCTCATTACACATTGTTTCGGGGAATTAACCCCTCATCACTTGAGCTTGAGCAGGCTGAGGAAGATTGTGCCTGAAAAGCACTACTTACAGGGCTGCCACACTTGGAGGGAGAAAAATCTGACGGTGATCGGGGACCGGTGAAAATATTTAGGAAAATGGCTTTCTGTTGGGGTCCCAGAGCACATTTTTAGTCCACACACATGCAAGCACGCGTGCATTTTACAGCTCCATGTACATGTACATGTACAATGACCGGCCAAAAAAATTGGGAACAAAATCGGTCGGTTTGTCCGACAGGCGATCACCCCCCCCCCCCCGATTTCCGAAAAATCGGAGCAAGTGGCAGCCCTGCACTTATATAGTGCTCTCCAGGCTACTCCATCACTGTGTATTGAGCAGGGAGTGGTGCTTTCTTCTACCAGGTTTGCCGAGTGGAAGTTGCGACGTGCTCCCCGTGTGCTCCGGATGGCAGTAGTGAGTCAGTCAAGAGTCATATTCGGCAAGAAGCATGTGTTCCTCAAGAAGCATGTGTTCCTCAAGAAGCATGTGTTCCTAGTCCTCGACCAGCCAACATCGTGACTAAGACCGCCCAAGTCGCAACATCTAAGTTCGCCTTGTAGGAGTATAATCCGTTGAGCTGAGAGATGTTTCACTTCACCAGCAATCGGACGCAACCCTTCCGAGCACAAGTTCGAACAAAATCAGATCTTTTAAGATCTGATTTAGTTGGAACTTGTGTTTGGAAAATATCCTAGGATTTTGCGATAATTATATCCACTGACGTACCTAGTGTGCACGGTCGTCTGGCGCTGCACGTCTCCAATGGAATCAACACGTGTGTTTCACATGTTCACCATAATTTTTGATAATGAGTTCCAGCAAGCGTGTTGCGTTCTCTCGACAGATGGCCAACGCTGCCAGTGCAGTCGCATCCAAGCGAAACGTTAGCACATGCATTGCCATCATGAGATATAATTAGAGGGTCAGTCATGCAAGTCAACAGGCTGCACCAGTTGCGCAATCCAGTTCCTTCTGCATACCATCGCGATTGTGTGCTTCTAACACGCAGGCAGGACGAGTCAGTGAATCCTTTCTCAGTTATCAACGATATACTCACGGCGCGTAATCCTTTAGCCAGAAGGATTGGGGGGGGGGGGGAACACTGCATATCGGCAATCTCATTCAACTGGCCGCTAATCCAGGAGACGAAGCAGTTTTATTGCTGGCACTGCTACCTGGCTTATTGTTTCCTTTCCTTCATGAATGACGAGTGCCGCGTGGTGTCCTCATAGAAGACATGAAGCGCTTTCGCTATTTGCTGACGATCCTATCAATCATGTGTGCAGTTATCCTGCCACTATCGACAGCCAGTAAACTAGCAGACTCATCTCCTTTCGAATACGTCGGTAAGTCATCATGTCATGAGCGAATTTTCTTCAGCATCGGAAAATACACGATTACTAAAGATAATGGCCGTGTCGTCTTTTGTTGCGGTAGTTTCTCTAGCCTTCGGATGTAGGCACCAGGTAGGCATCACTCTTTGATTATCATAACTCCTGGTGATCAGGAGCGAAGGACTAAAATACAGTTTGATTTCTGTCTCCTTCCAAAGGCAGTAGTGGGTTCCGCCGTTCCTATGAATGAGAGCAGTATCTTGGAGAATTATCTTCAACCTACTGCACAAGATTCATACTGCTCCTTCGAGTTCCCCTACGGTTACGTTGGTTCGTGGCAAGTCACAAAATTGTGGCTTTCTGCGTGTAGCGCAGTTCCAATCAGAATCAAAGCTCGTGGTACAGCAGTCCTCCTGCTCGACTACTGGAGCAGGTGATTTCTATTGCAACCATTGCAACCATTTGGCGAAAATTGGCAGGTGTACCCGCTTGACGGCAGTTGGGTACATATGCTCTTTGGGCATGTAAGTTTGTTTTAGGAGAGTGATCGTAAATGCCATGAAGACTTTAGCATAGTTACTGGCATTTCAACTCCAGCACAGGAAGCAGGGCACAATCGTGAATGCCAGGAGACGGTTTTGATCAAGAAACAACGGGAAAGCTGGTGGTGAGCTGTGACCCTACCGTGGCAGCGCGGGCACTATTGTAATGGCGACTTTACAGTTTACACATCGCACGTGTAGTGCCGCGTAGAGCCCTTCTATTGATGAGAAGGAATCGCAAATCCACGAATGTTTTTGAAAGGCTGTAGGGAATGGATTGTTTTAGTTTTCATGTTACAGGATGAATTGTAAGGTCATTTTGTGCATTTTACCTTTAGTTCCGTCATTTTCCACTGACGAGCGGAACCCAAAAATCTAGATTTTGGAAACATTGATGACTTCGTTGATGTATGGTGATGACGGCAGAATTTCGTTTTACCGCTATTTAGAATTGATCGTTTTGCTTCTGTGGTGTCTTCAATATCACATTATTTTGATAAGAAGAGATTTTGTTGTATTGGCTCCAGAACTTATGAGTATCGGTCTAGTTGCCTTTTGTTCGTTTTCAATATTAGTTTTGCTTGGATGATAGCATTGTGGTTCTTCTCATGCTCTTGCCGCATCTCCATCCGGTATTCGTTCTGCCTATCTTGGTGCTTGACGCGCACTGGCCTACTACACAACCGTTGCATGGGTACCATGTCCGTGTTGCAGGCTTTGGGCGCTGCTCGTGTATTGCTGTTACATTGATCGATAGCAATAGTTGCTGCTCCTTTCCCCTCCGTAGTGTGGTGTAGAAAGTTATCCCGGTGTCGTATAAGAACCCGTTGACCCCTCCCATTGCCATTAATCTATGTCTGACTAGCGACCTCACGCATAGACAAAGGTCAAACATGATCACAAATATGGATCCAGCTCCACTAAAGAAGCCTATCCAGAGTTTTAGAGACATGTTTTCGTGCCGTTCTATTTACTTCAGCCGTGAGATGTTTGCAATTATCTATTCTCTCGCGATGTGATACCAAAGTTAGTTGAGAGTACGAAAGATCAAAGTTGTCCTGTGAACTTTGTCGTGAGCAAACTGGGCTCCGGGCTCGTCACCATCAACTTTCTTATGCCCTCTGAATGCAGCTCACTTCAATTGCAATCACACAGGAGCATACTTGATTAGCGATAGCCGGTTGTTTGCTGACTCGTACTCTAAGGCAGATGAGAAGTGCACCGAAAAGAACGGATACAGCCTCATATCTGAGACCAACGCGACTTCGCAATGCGGCAACTCCTATATCAAGCATATTGAAGAACGTCTTGGAAAGAAAATAAAAATCTGGGTGAATTCTAGCGAATCGGGTCCTAGTTGCTTGCCGAAGAACTCCTCTTGCGACTCCAATGACACGGTGATCTTATGTGAGAACTTTGACATAAAAGCAGGTAAGTCTCACATTACAGAAGCAAGTAAAAAAAGGACTATTTACCAAGTTACCCGTATAAACTTTAACCTGATTCCAAACAAGAAAAATGGAGCGTATAACCTTCCCGTGATTTACTGTGTGTACCTTTCGCTAGAGTTTGTACTGGTCTGCACCTGATTGTCTATTCATAAACCCAGGAACCCATTGTTGCGAGTAGGTTAGGTCCAAATTATATGACCATGGGTGTGCCCTTTCCAGTATCTGAGTGGTCTGGTTTTTGTGGCATATTTCAGTAAATTGTTCTCTGTGCATCGTATAGCTGCATTACATGGGAATCGTCTTCCTCCGAATACTTGCAGCTAACAAGACCAACTGTTCGCAGTCGCTATTGATTGAAAATGGAACTCTGCAATTCCCATCGGGATACAGCTTTCCGTCGGAAGTCTATGCCACATGTGACAGTGGTTATGCGAAGAATCAGACAGGAGTTTTCGCTCAGTGTGGATCACAACCATTGAGGTGGCTAACAACAGGACAGGTTTGTGCTGGTAAGGCATCGTGTTCTATTGGTCAATTTCAATTTCTACGTCGCTCCCCCACATAGCTGTCTACACCAGCTAAACAGAAGTTTGAACTTGCATTTTGACCCAATGTTGTCCTGGATTATACACGGAGGAACAAAGAGGTAACTGGATTATGAGTTTTGAGTGACTGTCCATCAAAGTCCCCAGATTATAAATAACCCTTTATTGCCTGGCCCATACATTGATCGAACACCGATGTTCGAAGAGGTGGGCATTTTGAAATTATCGTAAAATGGTCGAATCGTTTGGAAAGATTGAAGTATGTATGTCGAAAGGAAAACTCTCTGCTGTCGCCTCGAACAATTTTCAAAGCCATAGGAACAGAGGTTCATGAGTTCTATTGGCACTTATAATGTTGGTCCCGGAAAATTTGCTCTCAGAGCGAGATGCGTGGGTCAACAGCTGGGGATTTCCCTGCTTACGAGACGTGTTGACAAGGCTACACCCATTCAACTTCAAAAGTAGGTCCCCGGGAGTTTCTATCGATAAAATTGAGTTTGATACGAGGTACAGGAGGGACATGGTGGAAGGAGATCGATCTGGAGCGTGAACCCAACGCTGGCGCGCCTTTCCTGGCTTGCGGCGCTGGGGCAGTGCATCCCGTCAAGGACTTTCCAGGATGCCCAAGTTCGTGGAATTTGTCCAGTGCAAATTACTAAGTAAATATACGTCCGATCTAGGTACAGATTTGGTGATTGTATAAAGAGAAACCCGAGTGCGACAGCAAGGCACAAACATGATTGGCATTACTGACACATTCAATGAGTTGACACCTACAAGTAGCTTCACCACATCTACCAGGCATGAACCAACAACCTTTCAACTTGGAGTGTTCGGGATAGGAAGTTTTACCTTGTTGAAAATTCAACAACACAATGCATTCAGTTGACCTTTGAGCAATACCTGCTCCTGCTCCACGTATCCTCCAATTCTCGGATAACTCGCACAGGCCACAAGCGGTTGAATAACTCCACCTATCCCGGTGTTCTCCACGCACTTGTTCATTGCCCATAGTTACTTGCCCGTTCACATCTGAATTGCCAAATGCCTGTTTCCAACTAGAAGCAACAGTACCACAATAAGTCTGATCAATCATACCTTTGGGCGTTTTGCCACTACGGAACGAAGCTATACGAAATGTGGAAAAGATTGGGTTAAAGCTTGGTCCATGCACTGTACTGAATGTTTTGCACTTTCGATAATTGTGCCTTTCGAATACCAGCCATTGAATGCAATATAAGTGGGAAATTGCCGAGTGGACATTTTTCTGGACACGCTCCTGTTTACTGGGCACATTGTAACGATCGACATCAACTTATTGGCAATGCTTCGGTCAGATGCATCGCTGTCAATACCACAACGCCTTTACCATCCTGCAAACGTAAGCATATATTTGACTAGTTATAGTGTGTCTCTATGCGTGTAATTCTTCACTTGTTGCTTGGAATACAAATATAAAGCACATAACGACGGTTCTATATTCACATCATAATTATATGGTTAAATGAAAAGGCGACGAGGACTAAAAAATATACTAAAAATATACTAAAAATTATATGGTTGGAATTCAACGTAATGCTATCTCATACAGTCCAGTACTAGCATAAAGACACAGCGCAGTGTGAAATTTAAATCTGAGTTTGCTATCTGTCCAGCTGTGTGTCCACAACTCTCAATCTCAAATGCACAACTCAACACAAGCTCTCGACTTGATGGCACAGTGGTGCATGTTAATTGCAGCTCTATGTTTGAAACGCTCGGCCCTGAGACGATGACATGCAATCTGCACAACTGGACGACTCAGCCACACTGTGAAGGTACTTAGGCGAGTGTTATAATATATTATATAAAAAGGTCCTCAGCAGCATAAATATCTGTTCAATCCTGCACTCCGGTAATGCCATCCCACAAATATTATTGCTGGCTTGACCCATCAATAGGGTGTGAGCATGTCTTCATGCATTACAGTAATGGATATTGCATTGATTTTAGTTTAATTAACCCTGGCCAAAATAATGATTGAATAGGTAACTCAATCATATCTCGGAGGCACTACGTAACAATAGTACCATTTCGTTTGAGTTGTTTGGTTGCTTCGCATGTCAATCAGTGATATGCAACCTCAATGTCACATGTAAGAGCCACAATATCTCGTGACCTTGCTGGACTGTTAGTCATAGTTAGTAACTTATAGATCCTTTCCTCTTTACATACTACTATATTAGGAATGGGTTTGCTCGCACACTGGAGCTACCGATATTCCTCGGACGACTTGACACTTGACTGACTCACGACTGCCATCCAGAGAACACGAGAAGTCCATCGAACCTTCGAGTGTGGGAGCAAATCCATTCCTAAACAAAATCATCGCCGAAGTCGCAACCTCTATTCCATATTACTATAATATTATTTTAAATATGCTCAAGAACCGGGTTTTCAATAGGGAACATACTATTAATTGCATTTTCAGAGAAATTCTCTAACGCCGGGTAACGATCGATGTTTTTGATGAAAAACTCTTGATTCGCACTATTTCGCAAAAAGGCAGATGATACATGTTCTCATTTGTGAGGCCTTATAAGGGTGCTAAAACAACTGTCAAACTTTTGTCTTTCTCCACAGAGATTCGTTGCAAACCTCCCCCTCCAGTTAATAACGGATTACAAGTTTGGAGCAGCCGGACAGGTTACGGAGTTCTACGACTTAAATGCGTGCCAGGGTATGAACTGGTTGGAATGAACACGACTAGATGTCTACATAACAGATCATGGTCTCCACCAATAGGGCAATGTATTCGTAAGTTGGTCTCAACATATCTGGTAATCTGCATGCTGTCTACTCTACAAGTGTATGGGCGAATAACAGGCATTCCATCATTCTATGCTGTGCACACACTGCAATATGTTAGAGAAATGATGAAGAGACGGAAGATATGTTGGTAGTTTGGAGTACCCATCATGCCTTGCATCGTATAGGGAAAGTAGGCATGGTAATGCTAAGTAAGGCTTTAAGTACGGCTTTGAGTAAGGCTTTAAGTACGGCCCGTAAGAAATCCAGTTGTGATACATGTTTGAACAACTTTGCCTTTGAAAAGGCGGCAAGGTGACAACAGTTTAAGGGTTGCATTAAAAGAACTAGCTTAAGCGTCATTTCACGACGCTTTTATTGGTTTCTCGGTATTGGTATTGGTTTTAGTTAGGCTTTAGCATTAGCCCTTTAAGTTAATTAAGAGCTGCCCCACACTTGAATGCAAAACTTCAAAAGATCGTAACTCAGTCCAATCTTTTAAGGTTCACATTACGTTTCCATCGGAGTTATTTCTTTGTGCATATCCACTTTCTCTAGAATTTTGTTCGTGACATCTCATTAAAACCTTCGTGAAACAACGCATCCGCTAGTTCTCCTATTTATTGAAAACCTTTCATTTCACACAAAAAGGGCACAGCGGAGGTTTACAGAGTTGTCGCAACTCGGAGTTGCGACAATTCTGTAAACCTCCGTTGTGCCTTTTTGTGTGTAATAGTGCTCCACATTATTGTGTTGACCCCTCTCCGATGGCAGACGTAAGTTTTCCTCCTTGTAAGAAGACATTTCGATAGAGCAAGCATTGAAAAATCTTTCATAGCTGTGAAGTATTGTGAGATTCGTGACCCTCGTCAACGAGTCCAGTCGTATTTAGCCCTATTCGTGCGCGGGTGTTGTGATTGGCTATACCCAATGTGTACATGTAATCACGCGAATTTGTTTCGGTGTGTGTGCATGCGTGTGATTATGTGTACATGCAGAAAAGGCATGCTCGGAAAATGTTCTCCCACCAGAGAATGGTGAAGTACCTCCTGGAAACTCTACGTACTTGTCAGTTCGCCATTTGCAATGCAACGAAGGTTACCAACTGCACGGTGATCCCTACACGTTGTGCTTGGCAAATGGATCATGGCTACATACTAACACGACCTGTTCAGGTATGCTAGTGAACTGCAAGAACTACTAGTAGTATCGATTGTTGGAATAAATTTTGATCCGCAAATGATGTCTGTGTCGGTTTCAATCAAATGGTACTAACGGTACTTCTATTCAGATCGCTGATACCTGATATTCGACGTTGAAATTAGAGCAGCATGCTGCGCTCAAGACATTTCAAGCACCATATTGAGTGCTATGTTAGATGTAGCTACATGTACACCGGTGTTCAGGACAGTACGGACAACACAAGTCACGACCGCACATCGGAAACTACTGCTCGCTTGAAGACTGTATAAAGTGTATTCACAAACACCAACAAAAACTGAAAACTGAAAAACTCTCAAAAGGAAACTAAACCAAAATGCAAGGAGGTCCGCTCGGCGCCTCCGCACCAAGACCATCTACGGGAATGGAGTCGTCGCAGTTCGCCCTCAAGTAAACAGCAACTATCGCAGCTAAGCGGTGAAAACTGCAAGAAAGCGAAAGCTATAGATCTCGAACACAACAGAAAAAGACTGTACCAAAGAAAGCGCATCGCTAACCGCGCAGCATTGTACATACACAGCGCACATTGCACTGTATATTTGGCAAAAAAACATAAAAGAAAATCAAGACAGTTCAGTGCGCAAAAACACATGGTCACGTCATGTTCAAGGAAATTCAAACTCTCTGACAGCATCTTTCTTTTTTTTTTTTTTTTTTTTCCTTTTAGCTTGCCGTGGTTGGCTATCACCTGACCTCTCATGTTTATTGGCAGTCTTCGGACGGGCCAGGAGATGTTGAATAAATAAATAAATAAAAACGAAGAGAAAAGAGAACAGAGAAGTTTAGAGAAGTACAAGAACGAAGGAATGGAGAAGAGAATCGTTCTTGAAAATAAGAGTGGAGAGAAGACCAGAGAGACCAGAGAGACAGACTGGAAAGAAGATCTACACAAGACGTGAGAGAGAAGAAAGGTGAGAGAATAGGCAGAACGAAAATAGCAAAGACAAAGTCCACAACAAATTCAAACAATGTTGACCTTGTTCACAAGTTCAACCTTCAGGCAGGAACAACCGGTGTATGCACTGCACTCAGTCACGATCAATATATTATGACTACTGCACCAATCTTCAGTCGTTTGTTTCTCAGAATGAGTTGGCTAAAGGGTTTTAAAAGATTTCCAATAACCGTATAGGGAGAAAATGCGTGCATTCCAAACCTCGACAAAAGAGGAAATGGAGAAAAAATACAGCGTGGAATGTGTGTCAAGTCCACGGTTCATCGAAAATCGTTTACATTTGAGAGACATGACTATAATACTACTTGGTCCGGCCAGTTACAATTCACTCTTATCTTCACACTTGTCTCAGGAAGAAAATACAAATATACGAGGGATGACACGATCACAAACCACCATGTACATGATAATGTACATGTCAGTAAGCAACTCAGCAAAATATTCAAGCAAGTTACACTTCTTCCTGGCCATTATCGTCACTGGAGGAAGAGCTCAAAACATTGGATCTGGACAGGTTCTGCACGTTTCATAGCTTGTTCCACTTCTCATTGTCTGGAATCACACTCAAAGACAGTGCGTGGCTGTCACCTTGCCACTCAGAAGCTGAGTGAGACTGCCCGCATGTTGGCTGTACGTGTTATCCCCATTCGTCACAATAATGCCTTTGTTTGAGACAAAAAGGCAACGCAACATCAGCACTGTACATTTTTAAACAGCCTCTTGCGCTTGTCGTACTTGCTGATCAGCACCCATACGAGCCGGTGGTGCTTGTGCACGCAGCCCAGTAATAGCTTCCGCTTGATGTAGCACCTCAGTGACCTTTGGCTGTGCGCACTACAACTAGTCCTAACGCTTTGTGCTTTTCTATACCTCCCCGCGCGGTAAACCATCCTTGCCACCGGACAGCTGTAAGTAGGCAGAAACTGTGTTCTCCATCGCTCTGAAATGCGAACATCCCGACCAATTTTACGGGCTTGAGCGGAGGTTGCATCGTTTTCTTGCGCTGACGGAAATGTTTGTCGGTGGCAGCTACAGTCAAAAAGACTCGAACGAACCAATCGCAACTTCTGTGATGGTTTGTGCTGCCATGTCGTCAGATGCAATGGCCAATGTTTATGGTCGGAGGGTGAATAGGTGGTTCCATGCCGTATGACACAGGCAGAACACCGAACAGTCAAGTGCAAAGATAAGCGCCAATTTTAACTTGGCGGACCAAATTAGTTCCATTATCTTTCTGCAATGGACGTTCGCCCATCCATACAGCGGTTTCCTATCTTCGATAGATTCGATACACTAGATAATTCTATTCATTCCACTAAACCAACTTTGTACTCACGCGAATTTGTTTCGGTGTGTGTGCATGCGTGTGATTATGTGTACATGCAGAAAAGGCATGCTCGGAAAATGTTCTCCCACCAGAGAATGGTAAAGTACCTCCTGGAAACTCTACGTACTTGTCAGTTCGCCATTTTCAATGCAACGAAGGTTACCAACTGCACGGTGATTCCTACACGTTGTGCTTGACAAATGGATCATGGCTACATACTAACACTACCTGTTCTGGTAAGCTAGTAAAGTGCACGAAACACTAGTAGCATCGATTGTTATAATAAAGTTTGATCCGCAAATGATGTCTGCGGCGGTTTCAATCAAATGGTACTAACGGTACTTCTATTCAGATCGCTGATACCTGATATTAGACGTTGAGAATATAGCAGCATGCTGAGTTTCAGACCTTTAAAGCACCGTACTGAGTGCTATATTGGACGGAGATACATATATACTGGTGTATGCACCGCACTCAGTCACGATCCATTTGGACGACTGCACAAATCCTCAGTCGTTTTTCTTTCTTTCTCAGAATGAGTTTCCTAAGGTTCTGCAATGGACTTGCGCCCATCCATAACGCGGTTTCCCATCTCTTAAACTGTAACCAGGAAATCCTATATAATTATAGGATTTGCTTTCTGGATAAAGGATTTCGCTAGACAACCTATGAAAATTGATGAAAATTTTATGGTTTCATGAGGTGTTTGGAACTGTTTTCCATATATATTCGTAGGAATAATCCAACCTTCAAGCCGACCGGCCAATTTTCAGGGTGAAGCTTTCGCTCTAGTACGGTTAACAGCACTAAATATGCCACCCTGTGGCAGTGCTCCCCAATCAATCACAGACATCTATTCATGGTATCTGCGTACTTATTCAGCGTGTTAGGCATTCTATACTACTTTCCCTGCCAGTTCTATCGTCATCTGCATTTATTACAACACTCTGGATATTGTAGAATACTCAAATCCTATTCAATAATCCGAGAAAGAAACTGACAGGTCCTCACTAAAACGGCCCTATAAGTCAAGTGATAATACTGGCACTCTTGAAAACTTATGTAGAGAACCTACTGATACTGCCCTAACACCTTACAATACAATTTAGGCACACAACATATCCCTGGCAGAAGCATGGTCATGATTATTGGAAATTTTTCAAAAAATCCTATAGGATTTGACAGTTTAGCAGATCTTCGATAGAATCGATACACTAGATAATACTCTTCATTCCACAAACCTAACCTTGTAATGACGCGAATTTGTTTCGGTGTATATACATGAGTGTGACTAAATCCGTTGATCCCCGAGCTCAAAAGAGTGCTCAATGTCAGAGACAGAGCTTAGTTCATAGCAGATTCAACGGAGGACGTTCAGGTTGGTTGTAACTCTGAGTTTCATGCCGCTAGGCAGTCATCAGACAACTGATACTCGGAACTACCCAACAGTATGCTTATAAACACATAGTTCCACAAGCATAAACAAATCTAGCGCTAAATCTGCTGTTAGGTAGGGGGAGAAAGTTGGCGCGGGCCAAGGCGCGACAGTAGAAGTGGCAGGAGGGTGGCGTGCAACCACAGATGTGAGCATGAAAGCCCAGAAAGAGGCAATGAGAATGCAGTGTACAGCAGACGGGTGGAGGTGCCAGGAGGATGGCAGGCAATGGGTCAGTGAGATATCTAGGGGTATTTGGATGACGTGTGGGCGTGAGCAGAGTGGCATAGCTAACAACAATTTCATTGTGTTATTAATAATTGATGTCGGGGTGCTCAGGCAAAGTGCAGTACAGTACTTGGTCAGTTCATTTGATAGGTGTGAAATTTGCCAGACGGAACTTTTTTTCATGCCTGCATTTCGAGATCATCTCAGACAGCTTGTTGAGCAGGAGCTTCTTCGGTGTCGTCAGGATGTAGAATTTTTCTGTGCTACATAGATTGTATACATTTTGACTCACATCTGTAAGATCGGCTCTTCTCGCGTGTGATAATGTGTATATGCAGAAAAGGCATGCTCGAAACTTGTTCGCCCACTAGAGAATGGTGAAGTACCTCCTGGAAACTCGACCCACTTGTCAGTTCGCCATTTTCAATGCAATGAAGGTTACCAACTGCACGGTGATTCCTACACGTTGTGCTTGACAAATGGATCATGGCTACATACTAACACTACCTGTTCAGGTAAGCTAGCGAAGTGGAAGAACTACCGGTAGCATCGCATATAGCAGCATGCTGCGTTTCAGACCTTTCAAGCACCGTATTGATTGCTATGTTTGACGGAGACATGTTTACACTGGTGTATGCAACGCACTCAGTCACGATCAATTATGACTACTGCACAAATCCTCAGTCGTTTTTCTCAGACTGGTGAGTTAGCTAAAGGATTAAGATTTCCAAAAACCGCATAGTGAGAAAAAGTGAAAAAGTGTACATTCCAAATCTCGACACGAGAGAAAAAGGAGAAACAATACAGCGTGGAATGTGTGTAAACTGCAAAGGCCATGGTTCATCAAAAATTGTTTGCATTTGAGAGACATGACTGTATACTACAATACTGGCAAGTGAAATCCGACCTCTGGCCGGCGCGGCGCACCGGCCAGAGGTCGGATTTCACTTGCCAGCATTGTAGTTCTACTTCGTAGTAACATCTTTCTGTTGCGGACTTGGGTAAAGCGGTTTCCTATCTTCGATAGAATCGAGTTTTTGAGCATACATGGTGTTGAACCAAACTGCCTGTGCTGATGGTCTGTGAGCTTGACTGTGCTGGGGCCTAGAGTGGAAGGAGTGAGTTTGATTGATTGGTTCTCCCACGAAGTGGAGAAGTATAGAATTCGAAATTTTCTGCTTTGGTGTTCCTTAAAAACATAGGTTTGGAATTGGATTAGAAAATACACAGAGGTACATGTACCAACATGCAAGATCTTGCCTTGCATTAATTCACAAAGTACTGCTGGGCATCAATTTTGATCTGCTGATACTCTGCGTGCTTTGTTTTCCCAGCCGTAATCACACTGGCACAAGGGAAGACCAACAGCGCTGCTCTCATTGCCTTTGTATCACTACTAGCTGTGCTTCTACTGATAGCGCTTGCAGTTATCTTGATGATGAGGCGAAGTTCCTTCAAATGCACAGGTGACCTCATGATGCCACTGTTTGGCACATGTGGAGGGAGCAAAGAGTGCAACAATTCGAGCAGGTCACAGGAGCTGTCGTCACAGGCAACACGAGACAACACGTATGCTGTACCCAAGCCGGAAAGAGGAGCTAATCAAGATACGCAACTCACCGAAGACGTCACCTACACGTCTGTTGTGATAGCTGGTGCTGATAAGCGCCCACAGCACGCACCATCCACGCCAGCCGCCGAGACGACAACTATCTATAGTGATGTCGTAATTCGGCAGAAGCCAAGCTAGATTTCATTTTCATGAGAATGATAAAGAGCTGATTTCTGTTCTTTTTTCTCCTCTTTGCTATTCTGAACACATTCTTCATTTTTCTCTGCTCTAACTTGTACTTCCACTGAAGAAAAGTCTGGAAAGTTTAACTGTGAAAAGTTGCTAGATGTTTTTGAAAATCTGAAGTGCTTTCTTCTCTTCTCTTTTTAAGCGTTCTGGCATTCCTGTCTCCAATGAATCTGTTTGCACCTGTCTTCCTACACGATTTTCAGTTTATAATGCATAGTTGACTTCTTGGGTAAGCAGAGTCCATAACAAGGCCACTTCGGCTCACGTGAGATTTCTGTCGCACGTCGTGGCTTCAAGTCTCCATGTATTGATTTTGCCTCATTTATAATCTATTATCACGATAGCGCGGAAAGCACATTTAATTTTTTTAACTGCATATCATTTTTAAAAGATCGCTCAACACACACACACACATATCCGGTCTCTGAACTTTAAAAAAATTAAAATATAATTCTCCATCAATATTTCGGTCTTGGGCCATCATCAGGATTGATGTCCTTCTCATGTTATTACTAGCTTTAGGGTTATTTAGCGTTTACCGTTAGGCGCTGCATCTGGGGTTTACCCTGTGTTAACGGCCGTCCTGAGTTCAATTCGGGAACAGGCACGATACTTTCCATCTTTCCTTTTTTTTTTCAATTTTGGCGCCTAATTATGTTCAGGCCGTATCCAGCCATTTCTTCACTTGCGTGTTTTGCCACCTATTTTTCCTTTAGTTAAAGCATGTTCCTGCACTGGTCTTGCTGAATTTGAACTTCGCATGAGTCCTAGGTTTCCTTTTTTCTTTGTCTTTTCCTTTCCTCAATTATACCAGTTCTCAAAACCGATGAATAGAGGCGGCAGGAAGGGGTATCTGTGCCAAAGTGCTAGGTAAGCTCATGTGGACAAATACTATATTATCGAAATATGTACACGAGGGATTTTACGGCGAGAGAAAATTTGAAGTACCTGAATTGATAACACAAAGTAACTAAGGAGAGCAGCAAACCTTTAGTAATCTAACGCGAACACAGGAGCAACTAAATATTGCGACAGAGCTTGCGGCCATAATTCCAATTTATTGCATTCCCAACTCGTGACAACCACGTGCTCTTAGCCGAACCAAACACTACACCGCTAAGACACTTCCGTTGAGAGAAAATATTTTTCCAAGCCTCTAGACAGCTGTTTCGCTCCCTGCCGGAGCCCATCAGTAGAGGATGATAATGATGATAATGGAGTGTGAAGGAATGATCATTCTTATACAGTAGAAATGGCGCAAGTGCGCTTTTCCACATAGAACAATGGCATATAAGAACAATAATACAAGAAACTAACTCTCCTCCTCCATGCGCTCTAAAGCCGACCATTGCTACCCTCCGTAGCCATTACTCACACCAATAACTTCAAACAACAAAGGGGTCACGGGTAAAACATTTCCTTCTGACAGCTGTTTCGCCTATCAAAGGCTCGTCAGAGAAGGTGATACTGATATTGTAATTGACATGGCATACTGATTTTATACGGTGTTAGTATTATGGGCGCAAGAAAGAAAATAGGCAAGGTGTAACACTGAGAAGTTCCAAGAACATTCTCAAAGCCCTTGGTTCTAGGAAAATAACAGGTGGGAAACTGTATTCGTCCACTCACAAGCTGCTAACATTTTGCATGGCTCGATAATGCAGCACAGATACAGACTACGAGTGTGTAAATATTCGTAACTGATCATGGAAAAGAAAAGAGTTTTGGCAAGGAACTAAACAAGAATATTAATATAAAAATTATTATGAATACTGAACGCCCTCATGCTCACGTGAAAGGTCGCAGCTCGACAGCACACCCCTAGCCCATGCATCACCGGACGGCATGCACGCACCACGACGACTGTCCCCGCAGAGTCCCCTCAGGCGTTCTCTCGAGCGACAGACCTTCGCTGGCCGTTACATCACGCCCGCTGTGTGGACCGACCGGTTCCGCCAGCGCTCGATAGCGACACATTCTGCTTGCTGCCATTGATGGTCGGGACAAACCAAACCAAGCGTAGCGGCGGACAGAAATGGGAGTCCTAACTGGGGGAATTCACCCGCTGTCACCACCGCTCCTCTCCCGAATCGTCGCGACGGGTCTTCGCCATGCTCCTCACGGTATTGACGCCGCTCCCTTCCCTTTCTCCCACTACGGTACCGTTCGTACGGCGCACATACGAAAATCAATAAAATGTTCAACGGTACCTTTCGGCTGTTGATTAATACAAGAAACTAACTCTACTCCTCCATGCGCTCTAAAGCCGACCATTGCTACCCTCGGTAGCCATTACTCACACTTTTGACATGTCTAGGCCGAGGATGTGGCAATCCCAACGGTACCGTTATCGCCTTGGCAGAGAGATATCTCTGCGTCCATACTACATCTGCTGTACTGCGACCAGCTCTGAATCCAGATTGCGTGTCGCCAAGGTGCCCGGAGACCTGCCTGGAAATACGGCTGAGTACGACCAGAGAGAGGAGTTTTCGTATGGTGTTTAACAGAATGATGGGACGCATGTTAGCGAAAATGCAAGCTGCTAACGGGTAAAAATTAATGTGAGAACAGTGATAAGAACTATTGTACGCGTCCCATTGGTGTAGGAACACGCCACACAGGCAACGCAAATCTTACGCGGAATAATGATGCCACTGGAAAGTACATGTATTTTGTTCATAGTGATAACTATTATGATGGTGCAATGCCCCTGTTTGCAGGCGAGGCGAGACTCACTGCCGAGATTCCCCAACGTGACAGGCTCGGTTGCCGTTCAGGATTCACACCGACCTGTCCGCCCTTCAACAGGACCGATGCCGATGTCGATGTGCACCAGGAAAATTGTAGTCGCGAGTGTGATACTAGCAGGTCTAGTTGCAACCACTGACAAACGAGAGGCCAGCTGGGGCATTCACTCCAGTCATGGCTGCTTCGTCGACGCTTCGTATCAGCAGCTAAGCTCAGTTTGATCAAACCTATAGATGTTGAGGATGTGTCTTGCTTTTCTCCTTCCTTCTTCACCGACTCGTCTTATCATATCTCTGTCTTTCTTCACCGACTCGTCGTGTCCACTCTGCTCCGCCACTAACGGCGCATTAAAACTTCACAACTAAATATTGCGACAGAGCGTTCGGCCATATTTCCAATTTAGTGCATTCCCAACTCGTCACAACCACGCGCTATTAGCCGAACCATACAGACACCAGCAAGGACACTTCCGTTGAGAGATAATAATTTTCCACGCCTCTAGACAGCTGTTTTGCTCCCTGCCAGTGCTCATCAGTAGAGGATGATAATGACGATAATGCGTTTTCCACATAGAACAATGGCATATGCAAGCTGCTAAATAGTAAACGTGAGAACAGCAAGAAGAACTATTGTACACGCTCATTGGTGGAGGCGACGCAAATCTTACGCAGAATAATGATGCCACAGACAAGCAGCGGTCAGAGCAGTATTTGAAGCCAGTGGGAGGATCAGATCCAAGGCCCACTGCGTTGGTGCAGTGCTTGGCGATATCGGTCGGAGATGCTGAGAAGCAGCTTGAGTCTGGGCCAAAGGAAAGGAGGAGGGCGTTTTTGCGGCAAGAGAAGCCTTGATTGGCAGTTGTGGTACGATGGTGAGAAGCCCTTTGGTGGGGAGAATGATATGAAACCACAAGTTCTCAAATGTGAAAGGCCTTCTCAATTGTGACATTGTGCTCGTTTCAATGTAGTTGTACTCGTGCCGTGTGGTCGTTCGTTCCTGACTTTTAGAGAACGAGAAGAGTTCACATCAGTGAGGGTTCTATCTCTCGATTTCCCACTCTCACAACTCAGCGTAGTAAGTAGCTTAGGGGTTGGATATTATTTTGAATATCTGTCCTACCTGCAATTTAATAATAGCAATGAAAAGTATGAATGCCGCAGACATCACCACGCAACATGACAATTTGTTCAAGGTTTGGTTTTGTGTGTTTCCAAAATCGATTTTCACGTTCCGATCATCAGTGGAAATACGGAACTAAAGAGATCAAGGGAAAAACAAAGGTTAAAAATCCAAAGAAGTGTGACACACGACGGGTAACTTGTAGTAAGTATTACAAAAAGTGAGAACTAAAATGAAGAGTAAGTGTGACAAACGGGCATGAACAGTGCAGAAACAACTCATGAACACGGGGTGCAAACTCACGAAAATAACCTAAGTGCTAAAACATGTTCTTTTTGCTTACACAAATCGGGCTTATGCGTACGAATACAAACAGCTTCAAGGACCTTCAACTGCTGGACATAACGGGCACGACACAGTACAGAGAAGTGGGAATCATCATACACACTCAAACAATCGGGACGAGATAACAAATGCAAATACACAGCTGACTTCTTACGAATTTCACCCTCATCAGCTCCATCACCTTCCCTGCCACCTGACTCCTCCTCGTCCGTTTTATCACCATCACCACCAGCCGTCTCACCGTCATCCGCCTCGTCTTCATCCGCCGCCTCGTCATCACCCGCCTCGTCGTCATCTGTATCCTCGCCGTCATCCGCCTCGTCGTCATCTGTATTCTCGTCATCCGCCGCATCATCACCCAACTCATAGTCACCACCAGTCAGTCGTCTGATACCATCCATGTTCTCCTTCCTACGTCTGTCCCGTGTCACTGTCCTTACCTCATCTACGTCCCGAGATTGTGTTCCGTTTTGCCCCCGGCTTCCGGTCTCCTTCGATGCTCCGCGTGGGCCTTGGCCATTCCTAGCATATATTACGGTTGAATAATTGGCGGTCGACCTCCGTGGTCTCTGGACCCACGGATCAAGCGCCGGAGGGTGCTGCGGTGTCCGCACAGCCGGATACTGTGTCAAAGAAATGGGCTCAATTTCTGTGATTGGTGGTACTGTTGTTGTTGCCGACTCCTCCCCAACCCCAGCCACCAACGGCACTGGTGGTGGCTCCGGTGGCGGCAAGGGCAACGGTGGAGAAGGCACATTCGGTTGGCTTAGTGATCCACCACTCTTCCTCTGCACCGTGTGTTCGACTTGCTCTGGTTGTGTCGGTGGTAGAGGGAGCGGGTTCTTGCGTGGTCTTCCCCGCTTCGGGCGCTTCGCTTTTGCTGCGTCCGGCAGCATGTGAAGTGGTACATGCTGCTTGATACGTGCGCTCAGGTGTTGAAGGGTCCTACCAACGTACCGGCTATCACAATTCCGGCACTCAAATTGGTAGACCAAGTGGCTCAATAGGTGGGATGGTAGGACATCCTTCCTCACCGTGAACGCACGTATCGTAGTGAACACAGGGATGAAGTGCGCCGCAAAGTATGTTTGTGTAACTAGCGTTTTGATTGTGCGGCACAATGTCTGTGATGCCTCTCCTTTCCAAGGTAAGGAAAGGTAGACTGGGCAACGACTTGGACCAATGATGACGACCTTTGGTTTTGATGCTGATTTTAGTAGCTTGTTTAGCAGTTCCTCCGGGTAACCATTTTTGAGAAACACAGATTTCAGAAAACCTAGCTCATCCTTGAGTCGAGTGGGGGAACAGATTCGCCGCGCTCTATCCACCAGATTCTTCACCAGGTTGACCTTGACTTCTCTGTACTGTGTCGTGCCCGTTATGTCCAGCAGTTGAAGGTCCTTGAAGCTGTTTGTATTCGTACGCATAAGCCCGATTTGTGTAAGCAAAAAGAACATGTTTTAGCACTTAGGTTATTTTCGTGAGTTTGCACCCCGTGTTCATGAGTTGTTTCTGCACTGTTCATGCCCGTTTGTCACACTTACTCTTTATTTTAGTTCTCACTTTTTGTAATACTTACCACAAGTTACCCGTCGTGTGTCACACTTCTTTGGATTTTTAACCTTTGTTTTTCCCTTGATCTCTTTAGTTCCGTATTTCCACGGATGATCGGAACGTGAAAATCGATTTTGGAAACACACAAAACCAAACCTTGAACAAATTGTCATGTTGCGTGGTGATGTCTGCGGCATTCATACTTTTCATTGCTATTATTAAACTTTTATCTCCACGTAGATTATTTACCTGCAATTTCAAAATTAATTTTGGACTTCACGGAGAATTTTGAAGTCTTAGGAAAGTATAGACCACATGCCTCGTACTGCTCCTTTCTCTCCGACACTCAACACTTGCAAGCCAGATAAGAAAGAAAGAAAAATCATCAGTAACACCACCAGGACTCGACCCAGGGTCCTTCCTAATCGCGCGCCGTGCTCTAACCAACTGAGGAACAGTATGACGCATATCCTTCTTCAAAATATTCCAGTACACAAGCATGCTCACATAGAGGTAAGTTCGAGTGCGAATTACGAGGGTGTGAACTTTACAAGCGCGAGGAAATACACCTCATTAGCACTCTCGGAGTCACTGTGGTTAGTGAACTTGATCTGTATTAGTCCTTGGTGCAAAGCCCGGGCAGCATGGCCTTGACTTTTTTTGCCAGTGTTATGTGATAATTGTAATACCAATCGGCGGAGAAAGGCGAAGTTTCCCAACAATCGAAAAGAACGTACCAAAACTTCAGGTTTAGTTGTGCAACAGTGATAATAATAATTATTATTATCGTCCTGTATTCGAGTTTCGGGAGCACAGAATGCGATTTACGAAGCGTGAATTTCAAAATGGCGATAGATTGGACGATGAGCACTTCGGGAGGGCTCTCACTGGCTGGCCGAGGTGAGCTGCAGGAAGTCTCAGCAGTCATGACCTGAGGGCGTTGATAACACCTGGCATGAGCTTTCCGCGTGTTCTTTATACGGTCTTTCAAACTCTTTGTTGTACATGATTTAGCACCGTCGGGTTGTCGACTGGTACACAGGTGGCGGCAACACAATCCTTCAGAAGAAGAGAAAAAAGGCATTGGCTGGATGCAACCGTGCCTGTGTTCTAGAAGCTGAGACGCAGGAGTTAGATGCTTCATGCCCCTATGAATTCCAAATAACGTTGAGATGTGAAAACGGTTCCATGCCTTCATATGATAGTCTGTTGAGAGCCGAAAATCAGATTCAGAATCGCAATAGCACAGCTAGGACGTCAAAGAAGTAGTGTATGTAGAATCTTGGTTATAAGAGGTTTTGATTTGTCATTAATTTTTCATCACTGCAACTCCGGCTGGTCCTGTGCTATCGGCGCGTACGTATATCCATCGTGATCCAAATGTTGCGTGTAAGTAGCCAGCTTGCCCGTTATCTGCCTCTATATCAGAACAAAACATTCTTCTCCTGTGTTTAGACCCTTGAAACGAAAAACGGTATGCTTGAACCTGCACAATCTATTGCACTACCAATCCACAGAGTATTACAAGCGAAATTCGATGTATCTTGCAATCAGGATTAAACCTTATCCATCCTATGCCTTGCTCTTTATTCATTCTATCCATTTCAGAGTTCTATTCAAAGAATATTGTTAATGATAATGAAGGTGAAAAGCGTATTCAGCTGTTTTGCTTCCTTGCGTTGTCGTGTTCGGAGCACAGGTATGCGTTTGCGGATGTTCCTCTTTTTTTTCCAGGGTCAGCATTTCATGGGGATATGGTTTTTGGTTTTCATCTTATCACAACTATGCAGCATCAGTTTTTCAGTCTCTGTAGGTGAGTGGTATTTTCGAGTATAATGTAACAAGTCACCGACATTTATATGGAACTCCCATTTCATTGAGTTTTATGTTTGCAAGCCCTTACATTGGTGGGCTGTGTATCGTTCCTGTCAATATCTATAAACACTTAAAGGCAGAACTTTCTTTACAAAAAGGTGTTTTGGTTGGCATCGGGCGTGGCAATAAGAAGAGCGATGAAAAATGCTTTGCATTGGAATACAGAGAACGAAACTTGACTAATCATTATTATTAGCCTTTTCGCGTTGACATCGTCAGCACGCTTGGCTAGTCTTGTCTTAGGCCAATTGGAATTTGTTCCATAGTAATATTTAATTATGCGTAAGAGAGGGAATTTAGAGGGCGGAAATCGAAAAGAGAGCAAAATTGAATTCCAAGCCGATTTTTGCAGTACTGTATTTGGCATTTCATCAACAATATTGTAGGGAGCGACACACAATTCGCCAAGCACCGCCGAAGTCTCACAAACCTCTTCTTCACAATATGTTATCATTTTACGAACATAAACACAAACCGGCAAATAACATTACAAAGAATATCTCCATCCTTGTAACCATCTAATTCACCGCCCATCTTGTATATTTTGTCAGCAATTAGCCCATGAATTGCAGTGTGTAGCGCTTTTACTTGTACCTTTGTTACACTTGTTTTTCAATTGTACCTTTTCAATTCTTCTTTTGTTCCGCCAAATCAAAGAAAGATTCCAAATGCCTCTGGTGGAACTCAATGTGTCGACGCCAACATTGAGTGAGTTAACGTGCCACGCCCTTGGTTCAAACAGTACCTCTCAAACAGTACCTATCAAGTCGCCAACAGCAAGTGTGCATTGGCTCCGGACTGGCTTGTTAATAATAATAATTTTTACTTCAGGATTGCTTGTTACGGGCACCTGTGTTGTTCCGCATGGTTCGGTCAGCATCAAAACTAGAGACGTAACCTACTGTCACCTCCCCGACTATGTCAATCCAGTTTGCAAACGATATAGCCTTGACTTCCAGCCGCCGCAGCGCTGACCTCGTTTCGTCTCAGCTCACAACAGCCATCTCTAGCCTAGTTCGCTGGCTATGTACCCTTGTAAGCAGTTATTCCTTAGTCAAAGGAGTGTAGGTGGGTTGCAGAACTGCTATTCGCAGGCTTTACTAGTTTGGATAACGCTTCGCTCTTCATTGAGATAGCTATCATTCTCTCTTCTTTTTCATTCTCTCTTCTCCCGTTCACACTCTCTCTTTCATTCTCTCTTCTTTTTCATTATGTTCTCCCTGTAACACAATAACATATTCGCTGCCTTGTCATTGAGCATTTGTGCTCGTTTGGATTTGCGAAATCAAAGAATTATAGTATATTAACAAACTGGCCGGACCCTAACCAGTCGCACTCTTTACAAACCCTTTTCACATGAAAGGCTGGCACAGTCGAGGCCCTATCCCTAATCCATATACCGTTAGAAATAGCCCAGCGTGGCTACACATGTAAATCACAGTTTGGCTTGACATTTCCACCCGTCTCTTCTCCTCGTCCCCAAACCCAGTTTCACGTTCTGTGTTCTTGCAGGACACTGGTCTTGCGACGATGACGCCTTAACGGCGTTCATCAGTCCCAGGAGTTATGAAAACCTCACAGAAGAACAGGCGAGGACCACTTTCAATGGGTTTACAAATTCCAAGTTACTGACAAGGGCCGCAACTACTACGCAATGTTTCCAGGAATACTATGCTCACATCAATCCATCACAGCCAACCCCAATATGGCTAATGGGGGGCACCACTGCATCATGCTACCCACAGCTGATTGTCTGTCCCAAAAGAATGAGATTAATCCTACAGTACAATTTCGTGACTCAACCCAGTAAGTCTGAATTGAAAACCCCAATCGGATATAGAGAACGTGCATAATGCTGCCTTTAGATCCTGTAGGTATTGTTCCAACCAGAAATATGGCTGTACGGTATAACGTGGCTGTCTTGAATCTTAGTGGAGGCTCCTGGGCTTACGTGCGTGCCGTAATTTTATCTAACAACATACCTTTTTGTGTTACAAAGGCTCCCGCAGCGTAATAGTTGAATGGGAATACTGAGGAGAGCAATTTTAATTCATGTTACTAATATTCAGTTGGTTTAACCCCTTCCGATGTTACTTCTCTTCAGGCTACTGTTCCAGTGCAGAAATGGTAGACAACGCGTTTGTCACGTACCCGTCAGGTAGAAGACATCCTTCTGAAGCTTTAGTAACATGTGACAGTCAGAGTTACCTGGTGGGGTCTGCCACAGTCAGCTGCCAATCGAATGGAGAATGGTCCACATCACCCAAATGCGAACGTAAGATGCATCATCAACGAATACCAGCATTATACCGGTAGTCTTTAACATCCACTATCCCTCCAAAAGGGAACGCTTTGGTGTCGAAGCCAATGAGATTTTGTCTCAAGCCTGTCATCATAATTGTTGTATATAGAATGCACATAACCACCCAGAACCTGATTTCATTTGCGAGAATCAATGTCTATCACGGGAAAAGGATATTCATTCTTGTAAAATAACTTTAAATAAGCTAATCGTAATAATAACTGGGCGGACTTTCGTCTGATCATCACATTTTCAATTATCCGGGGCCGCGTTTAAATTAATTTCTTCTTGAAAAATTGTCAACTGGTCTTCTCTTTACGCAGGATTCAAATGCTCCTATAAGCCGGGTATAGCCAACGGGAAGTTCAGTTCTACAGGAGTGCTCGAGGGCGATAAGGCAAAGGTGGTGTGCAATGAAGGCTTTCATCTGGATGCTGGCATGGACAGACAGTACACCTGTGATCATGACGGCTGGCCCAACGTTTCATCCTCTTGCAAGCGTAAGCAAACAACATATAGGACACGAGCAGTACAATCGTAGAAAATTGCTGATTTTACCAGGGGAGACACACCAGGCGTGTTTGTAGGAACACTAAGAAACCTGTATACTGGGCCTATTGACAGCCAGCTTGAAGAGCATTATCAGCATTCAGCCATGAAAGAAGTAGAATGGCACACAATAATACTGGAAAGTAAAGGGATTCATTGCCTTCCAACATTAACTCGTGTAAGTAAACTGATTTTTTCGCCAATATTGTCCCACTTAGAATTACACAAGTATTATACACAATCCAGCTGCAGCCATAGTCATTGTTCCTTGAAACGTATTGCACAGTGTATTTCTGAAATTCTACATTTATTATGGGCATGAATACCGGAATGGCGGCGGAATGGAGGTATTTTCAAGTGCATGAATACCTTCTTAGGGGTTTTCGGGTTTCTGCGTGTCGATTTGATCCGTTTTTCAGGAATCACGTGTCGAAGCCCAAACAGATCGAGGAATACAAACGTGCTTCCGCAGAGAGCAGCCTTCGTCTACAATGAAGTTGTGAACTTCTCCTGCGCTGTGGGGTACTCTCTGGTGGGAGCTGCCACAGCGACATGCAAGCGTTTGGGGTGGACCCAGATTCCCCATTGCGAAAGTAAGGACCAGGATATCTCACCCTGAAGTATTAGATTTGAAATGTTCACTGAATTATTTTCATTTTCTACGTTTTTGGCTATACTACTGTGCTTAGCAGATAATCGTTTTCATCTAATGTTTTGCAGAAATCGGTTGCGTGGCCAATATCAACAACACATCAGGGTACTTGGTGTTCAGCGGTCTGACTAGCGGCAGTACAGGTAGATTACACTGTTATGCAGGCCACGAATTGCGGGGAGATCCCACCACGATCTGTGACGAGTGGGGTGACTGGAGGTCAATCAAAGGCCACTGTGAAGGTAATAAGATATTAATTTTGTCGGGTGTGATCTAAAAACCTTATCCAACTCTTGCTTTGGATTATAAACACGATATAGCGTGTGTATGGCTAGCGTTGCTCAGACGGCCCCTCTGCTCTCGTTGAACGTGTATGTACTAAACCCCTGGCAATACAGGACCGTCGCATATATTTGGTTCGAAAAGCCTTATGACTTGTGATATAGAGATTGCGTTATCAGTATATTATAAATATACCAGCCCATAGTATGCTGCGCCAACTCAAAACTTCTAGTTATTCACGATCACCACACATCAGGAATCATCAGCCTGATGATTCCTGATGACTCTAGACCCTACCCAAGGTTGCACAGCTGATTTCCTCTCCATTACGCACTAGTGCACATGTATCTCTCTCTTTCTCTCTCTCTCTCACACACACTCTCTCTGTCTCTCTCTCTCTGTCTCTCTCTCTTTCTCTCTCTCTCTCACACTCTCTCTCCCTCCCTCTCTGTCCCTTCTTTCTTTTTCTCTCTCTCTCTCTCACACTCTCTCTCCTTCCCTCTCTGTCTCTTTCTCTCTCTCACACTCTCTCTCCCTCTCTGTCTCATTCTCTTTCTCTCTCTCACACTCTCTCTCCCTCCCTCTCTGTCTCTTTCTCTCTCTCTCTCACACACTCTCTCTACCTTCCTCTCTGTCTCTGTCTCTTTCTCTCTCTTTCTCTCTCTCTCTCTCTCTCTCTCTCTCTCTCTTTCTCTCTCTCTCTCTCTCTCTCTCTCTCTCTCTCTCTCTCTCTCTCTCTCTCTCTCTCTCTCTCTCTCTCTCTGTCTCTCTGTCTTTCTGTCTCTCTCCCTCTCTCTAACTCTCTCTCTCTCTCTATCCCTCTCTCTTCCCTATTCCGATTTCTACAGCCATGTCCTGCAGACCACCACAGCTGAACGACTTCCTCCGCATAGAGAATGAGACTGGCAATAGGTCTTACCGTCTGAAAGAAGTGGTTTATTTCTCCTGTGCTGAGGCGTACATACTGAGAGGAAAAAACTGGACAGTATGCACTGAGCATGGCAGATGGACTCAAGTTCCGTACTGCATTGGTAAGTTCAAGTGTAAGGCTGCATATAGAGGTGTCATATTTAAAAGAAAACAGAATTAAGGAACATTGCAACAAAAGTTCCTTGTCAATGTGAACTGGATGTCTGTGCAGCCTCGTCACTTTAGGTACTCATATTTGTGATACCTCCTCCCAGGGTTTAGAGGGTTAGAAGAACATAATTGGATGCATTAGGTTTATGCTGTCATGTGATGATTTAATTCTTCAAACAAGCCACAAACTTTTCCTTTTCGAAACCCTATTTATGACTCCGGTAAAACACATCCCTGAAGGTATTGAAATATCAATGATCTTTCTGCCTTCTTCAATTTTTGGTTTTACTGTCGTTCATTTTAGAGATATCGTACCCGTTTGTTACTGTCCAACCTGGAACGCCGCATAGCGGACAGCAGCCAGACTGGAAGAGTGTTGGCGGAAGCAGAGCAATACTAGTTGCAATTGCCTTCTGCGGAGCAACAGCATGCGTCATGGGTATAGCGTTGTTTTTGTCCAGCAGAGGGATCATGCCCAAGGCAATACCAAGACTGCTAGGGAGGTTGGAGACCCTGCCACGGCAGTTGGCGGAAAGGTTCACAAATCTCACACCATCCAGCCCTAACCCCGTCACTGCTAGTACGACGTCCACACTGCCAGTTGTCACCTACTCTAACAGTCACTGTTCCTCAGCAATGCCTAACTCTAGGACATTTGCCAGTGATGATGGTACCAGCAATCCAGGTCGCGAGCGTGAGAGCTCCCACGAATTACAGTCCCAGCATGTTCACAGCTCGATCGCACTTCTGGGCGTCGTACACAGACCCCAGGCAGAAGATGATGTGTACGCGACGGTCGATGCACCCACTGAAGGGAACGAGGGAGATTCTGTCCAAGATAGCTCACCCTATGAAGCCATATACTCCCAGGTGAAGAAGATTGGGAGCGCACAAAATCAACAGCAGGTCGCACCCAAGTACGCCGAGGTCAAGAAAAAAACACAGCCCGAAGTCAATCCAGTGAATACATCACAAGCATCTGTGAGCAATGATCTGTATAGTAAGGTGAACAAATGTCGTACATAGATATCTATGTAGTCACAACCAACTCTGGCCGTAAATGCATGGCTTACATGTGCATCTTCATCTCACGAATGTTAAGCAATGACCACATTCAGCACTTAGTCAATGTCAATTGTATCTACTCACACTTGTTTAATGAACTCCAAGCTAGCAATCAATAATAGACTGTGGTGCTACCTAATTCCGCCAATGCAACGTAAACGAATTTATGATATCACTCCTCCTTATATCCACTTTCAGTGAATGAAAATTACCTCTTGTCATCAAGCCATTTATAAGGATTTCTATCCGTTTAGAGCATTCTTTGCCAAACTACATCATACACTCATAAGTAAAATATAACATTGAACATTTTCTGGTTTGAGGGAAAGACACAAATGGGAAAAGAATTATGAACTGGTCGTATACTGCCGGCATAAACAAATCATACGCTGTTTATTTTTTTCTTCATACAATTATCCTCTTCATTTGTGTTAACATCCTTTATCTTTGCAAATTGTGTTTTGTTGCCCGTAAAAGAGGCTTTTGTAACAAATCATACGGGGTTCATGCATCCGTCAATGATGGTTAACCAGAGTTGCTTTTTGGTGGCGAGATTCAGGCATTCCAGAATCGGCACATTTAGAGGCTAGTGGTCTTCTTTGATGTTGTCGACCTATCTCTTGTGGAGTCGTCCACGAGGTGCTGGATGTCCGAAGAATTGATACATGCATTGTACTCACTGTAAAAGTCTGAATAAAAACGTGACTGTCACCGCCAGGGCTCGAACCAGGAATCTTCCCTTCAGGCCAGTGATGCTCTAACCACTGAGTTATGGTGTAGCCGTCATCTCAGTAGAGACCGGTCAACATTCTCTTCCGACTTCGTAACTTTGTCATCCAGACAGGCGGGTGGGACGCACCCCTCACTGTAAACCACACACTTCACCTACAAGCTAGTGCGCGAGACAAGCTAGCGCGCGGGATGCATTGTACCTTGTTGAATTCCAATTCCCTCATATGTTGCTCAAAAACTGTGACATCATCAGGACAGTGTGGAAAGAATCTGAAATTAGCTGGATGTCAGGCATGTACTTTGGATGTCAAAATCAATAATAATATTATTATCAATGGTGTTACCGACAGATTGATATTCGCCTTTATGTATCGAGTCGCAAGAGAATGGGGAGCTACGAAAACTGTACTACTATAGTACTATACGGACGTGTCAGCAGAATATGAGCCTTTAGATAAACGTGACCAAACACTGTTCTTCTTATGAACAAACAACTCTGCACGCGGTCGTCGGTTGGTGAAGGAGTAGGATTACCGGGGTATGTACAGGGATTAAGGTTCACCTGAAGTAATGTATCAAGTAAACAGAAAACAGGAATTCTCTGTAGTATCGGCCTGGGGGACAAATTGAATGATCGATATACATGTTAGCCACACCAACGTTTGAGCACCAGAGAAATGTAATGGCAGATCATGGATTAGCCGCCAAGGCATGCTGCCCTAGGGAAGGATGGGACTTTGGGCATGAGAAGGCCAAACGTCTGGCGAAAACCAGCACTGGTTGCTAACAGTAGTGCGATGCGTTGTAACCACCTGGCATATTGGCATATTCAAAATAGGCGCAGAAATCCAAGTCTCATGAACCTTGCGCACTAGCATGCATTCTGAGAAAAGTATTATTCATAGCCGTGTTCATAACCTCAAATGAGTACCGAATTCCTTGATAGGACCGTGCAGTTTGACTTTGGAAAGTTTTCCGTATTTCCAATTTCTGAAATTTAGCATTCAGTTGCCTTCCACGTATTACCGAATCGTGCGTAGAGTCCTCCGTACATTGCAAATCCCGTTTACTTGGTTAGAAGCTGAGTCTTCATATTTCTTCGGCAAATGGGAGAATCAACATCTCCTTGGAAAAATGTCACTATCTGGAGTCTGTGCGATGTCTTTCGTAGCCATTATGTTGTGCTGCGTTCTCAGGTCGTCAATGGCATCTTCCAGTTCTGTTGGTACGTAACATTATCGAGAACAGCCTGTAATAAGTTGTAATGGAGAAATACTCAACCCACAATTGCAGGACTTTTCTAAACAATTATTCTAAGATTATGGATTTTGTGCCCGTTTGAGTTGGAATTTGCTCGCATCTGATCTTACACGGACTCGCTAATCTTCTGGACTATGCATCAGCGTGGCTACGCTTCACCTAGGTTTCCAAGTAAAAGGCTAAGGTCTGAGTTGAATGGTAAAATCTGCCTGTGCTGCTAACGTTTATATGACGAATGTTGTCTACTGCTCAGGTCATTGGTACTGCAACGATGACGCATTCACAGCACTTGTCAGTCCTCCGTCGTTTGACAAAGTAAGCAAAGCTCTAGCAAGAACCCTTACCGTGAAGCAAGCACATCACAGGATGCTAACGTGGTCGGACACGCGTGAGGTGTGCTTCCAAGACTTCTATCATCACATCTATGGTAGCGAGAACCTTTCCGTTTGGGTGAATGACACCAGCCTGATGTGCTACCCAACGTCAGCTACTTGCCCATCTAGAATGAGACTAATGCTTGTTTCTAAACTTCCACAGTCACCACGTAAGTAGGATACACCATTTACAGGGCAGGATTGAGCATACTAGTATCCAAGTTTCAAAAAACTAATTAAACCAAGCGATCGCGATGTGTTGAATTGACCACCATAGTAATACTATCTTCATAAAATTTGAAATTGTTTTCGGCCTGTGATTCGGGGTACTTGCTCTTCATCCGAAGAGCAAGTACCCCGAATCACGCTGCGTTGCGCAAGGTGCTGCGAATTCGAAAAAAACCCACTTTGGCTTTGTCTATGACATAGGTAATTCAGATAATTATGTGGTTGGTTTTACTAGTAGTGTTAAATAAAAATTAAATTTAATATTGCTTTACATGGCTGTCTGTATGTTATGACCGTAGCCGTTTGCAAGCCTCTTGTGAACCCGGACGGAGGCTACATTCAATACCCTAGCGGACGTCGCCATCCTTCGGAGGCTCAGTATTTCTGCACGCGTGGATTCCAACTACAGGGCGGTCCAACTGTGAAATGTGACTACAAAGGGGATTGGACGAAGCCGTATCCGACGTGTAAAGGTTAGCTTGTTGCCTTACAAGAGAAAGTTGCAGAAACCTCCGGCTGTACGGGACATATGGCGATATAAGTGATGCATTGATTATTATTATTTATTATTTATTGCAACATCTCAAGACTCGGCGGAAACACCGGCCAATATTACGAGAGTGGGTGATTGCCAACCACGGCGATAAATAGAAAGAAGGGGAGGGAAAAAGAAAGAGTAGCAAAACGAACAGCATTGATGCATTGATTCCCAAAAAAAACACCTGCTCACGAACGACTACCTCAATATTAAGCTCGCGGAAATTGTTGCTTGGCAAAACCGAGAACCAATATGTTGCTAAACAGGATGGACGTGTACTCGGCTATAAACTATATCGACTTGCGCAAAGGCAAAGAACAGGGGCGGGCACAACCAGGTGTAAAATGCCCCTATGTAGAATGAGCGGCAACTCTCTGTCCACTGTAGAATATTAGAGTATTACCTTTTCCCTCTTCACTCTGTGCGTGTATAACCTTGGCAACTCGCATTGAATGTTGTTGAATGTCAGTACTCCTGGAGTTTTGTTCCATTTTTCCTTCTTCGCTCACTGTATATGATGTGGTTGCATGGGTGGTACGAGTTAGTCATAACTCATAACATTTTCTCCTCCTTCCTTTCATCCGTAACTCACATTCTAAGTTGTTTTTGTGTTCCGGGTTTTTACTCCTCGTATATCCAGCTGGAGAGTGTTTAGAACGTCCACGGTTTGCGAATGGATTGTTTATTATCAGTGGAAGGAAACCTGGAGATAATGCCACCCTTTCATGCAACGATGGCTTTCGCCTGGCTGGTCATAACACTGCAGCGTGTTCAACATTAGGAATGTGGATCATAACCAGCCGGTGTGAAGGTACAGTGAGGGCAACTGACATCCGACCCCCTAGCGGTGCGTTCACTTTCTAGCTGTCTCTGTTTCGTAGTTTTACCATCCCGTGTTGGGTCTTTTGCGATGTGAGCGCTGCTCCGCTCAGGGGTCGGATTTCAGTTGCCAACCCTTTACATGTAAATGTGGAGCGATAGTGAGAGATTCACTGGACACATAGGCCGTATTTGGCTTCTTGAAAATCTAGAATCTGAGTATACGATATGCATAAAACGGAAGGGCGACATGTTGCGATGTATTACTAATTGTCCTCCAAGGTAATAGTGTCGCTTGAATCCCGACGCTGTCCGAAAAGTGATTGAACATCGATTGAAATAGTACAGGTTCGAAACGCACAGAGCCTTAAGAGAGCATGTCTGAGAATACCAAAGTATGTGTGCAAGTGGATCTCTCCGATTTCGCTCAAAATTTGCAGGTAGGTTGCCTTTGGGGTGTGGATCGACTGTGCAAAGCCCTTGAAAAAGTTTCTGAAGGGAACCTTGAAATTCGCATACCCCTCAAAAAATGGCCGAAATATCACATTATTTATGGGTCTAGAAACGAGTCACGCCACAGCGTATACGAACAAGCTATGAACAAAACTACATCAAGCCAACATTGCCTCACCTTAGAAGAGTTCCTGGAGCAGTACCGCTTAGCCACGCCAGCATCCCAGAAGACGAGGTCCATCACCCCCTGACGCCACAAATGATCGTCTTGAAAATAGCCAATTTACAAGCGCTGGCAAAACAGCCAGCTACGTCCTCAATTGGCCAGAACTATATACCGGCAGATAGTAGAACACCTCTTCTAGCTCTGAGGACATGTCCCCCATCTTCCTTTGGGGGTTTTCTTGAAATAAACATTTTTGAATTTTTCCACTCGACCATGCTGAAATACGGCCAAAGTCATACCTGCGCAGGAAAGCTCGCCCCGTCGCGACGTCTCCTCAGCAATTTCTACTCCAACACTACTCCCAAGGCCGCAGAACAAAGTGTAGTTTTGACTCTGACAAGGAAAAGCAGCGGTGATCACTTGTCACTCCAAACGACAAGCTTCTCCTTGCGCCACCAATAATTTTTTGTGCGACTGTTGATGCAAAAGTGACTGAAGGCCTGAGCGCAGTTTTTGAATTTTATTGCAAGATGCACGGTGAAATCACGTGCCTTATGACGCAAGAATGCCAAGTCGCGCGGCCCACGGCTCACGAGATTTCAGAGTCACCTTTGTCAAGTGCGCTTGTTACTCGCCTTGAACGCCCGTTGGTCTGGAAGTCATCCCACTTGTGTTGTTACTGCGCTAAAGTCGTAAAGAACACGCTGGGAGTGTTGTAGGCCTACGAACCGGGACTTTCCCTGACCATGTAGGTGGAAGACCAGTGAAATGATGATGAAATCACATTCTTTATGACGTAAGAAATCTCTCATACAGTTCACGCGACAAGTGCGTGCAGTCAGTGCTACTCGCGTGCCAGTCAACACAGGGACCGAGCTAGCCGCTTTTGTCGAGCATCGACATGAAAACAAGGGACTTTTACTGTTGGACTATGTTCGGGATTGCAGGAGGTAAGTGTGAAAGACGAATAACTCTCCATGCTGTACGGGGCATATTTCAACGGCTTGCTGCCATTGCAACACTCCTAGGACAGTTTGTTGGGGTACTCAGCAGTTCAAGCAGGAAATGAAGCTCATCTTACCTCTGCCATCATGGTCTGTTCCGAGTAGCGTTCCAGGCACTTTCACGATCGTTGGCCGCGTATCGTGATGCAGGAAGCGTCATCCTACGTCACAGAGCACGCGATCTCACCGTGCATCTTGCAATAAAATTCAAAAACTGCGGTCAGGCCTTCAGTCACTTTTGCATCAACAGTCGCACAAAAAATTATTGGTGGCGCAAGGAGAAGCTTGTCGTTTGGAGTGACAAGTCATCACCGCTGCTTTTCCTTGTCAGAGTCAACACTATGCTTTGTTCTGCGGCCTTGGGAGTAGTGTTGGAGTAGAAATTGCTGAGGAGACGTCGCGGAGGGGCGAGCTTTCCTGCGCAGGTATGACTTTGGCCGTATTTCAGCATGGTCGAGTGGAAAAATTCAAAAAAGTTTATTTCAATAAAACCCCAAAAGGAAGATGGGAGACATGTCCTCAGCGCTAGAAGAGGTGTTCTACTATCTGCCGGTGTATAGTTCTGGCCAATTGAGGACGTAGCTGGCTGTTTTGCCAGCGCTTGTAAATTGGCTATTTTCAAGACGATCATTTGTGGCGTCAGGGGGTGATGGACCTCGTCTTCTGGGATGCTGGCGTGGGTAAGCGGTACTGCTCCAGGAACTCTTCTAAGGTGAGGCAATGTTGGCTTGATGTAGTTTTGTTCATAGCTTGCTCGTATACGCTGTGGCGTGACTCGTTTCTAGACCCATAAATAATGTGATATTTCGGCCATTTTTGAGGGGTATGCAAATTTCAAGGTTCCCTTCAGAAACTTTTTCAAGGGCTTTGCACAGTCAATCCACACCCCAAAGGCAACCTACCTGCAAATTTTGAGCGAAATCGGAGAGTACCACTTGCACACATACTTTGGTATTCTCAGACATGCTCTCTTAAGTGTGTAAAGGTGTAGTGGATGCCAATGTTGACATCATTTAGAACATATTTTCTTGCCTGATGCTAACCCCTTGTCCCAACTTCATTGTGCCTTTCAGAAATATTCTGCCATACGCCACGTCTTGCAAATGGTATGGTGGCTTTCAAGAGAAACATTACGGATAATTACAAGTACAACGGGACTGTGATGCTTTCTTGCGAACAAAACTACAAACTGATCGGTCCAAACTCTGCTCGATGCAACGATGACGGATGGTCTCAATTGCCACATTGCAGGGGTAAGTATTTTGCGTTGCGGATGTCAACAGCGAAAGTGGACGTTACCGTATTACAATAATGGTATTCCTCATAAACCCTGAAACTAAATAATTGAATCAACAGTTTACAATCGTTGTATTTTGAACCAAACAGTTTCTGCGTTTCCCTTCTGCTCTTGTACCGTTTGCTCCTGATTGTGATAATAAGCAGTGTCCACGTGTAGCGTCAGTATGCTGCCGCCACAGCTTTGCATGGTGAATGGCTTGGGTGAGTGAAGAGGGAAGAGAAAGCAGCGAGGCAACCAAGACCAACCAAGATGTGTGTCACAATACCATGAAGAGTACCAATCTACAATGCATGACTGCATAAGAACAGAAAAGACAAATGTCTGCTTACATTATGCTGTATCCTCTTTATTTTGTGATACGCCCCTTCGCTAGGCACTGCCTTCGTGAATAGAAACCGGGCTTATTCCCGCAGGAGCCGATATCAGAGCTAGACCTCTGTTCACATCAGTCTATTATTCAAACCAGCGTTGCAACGATCCGTACATATCAATGTACGGATCGTTACAGATGCTTCACGTCGTCTATAAACCGAGCTAAATCGCACCCTCAATTCATATTCATGTGTGCCGTACCTTTCCAATGTTGTTTGTCCTTTCAGAGGTTAAGTGCACTACAAATGTCTCTATTCTGAACGGACAGGTTGCCTACCAAGGGCTCTCCATTGGCGATAAAGCTCTTTATATCTGCGATCCAGGCTACACCCTAGTAGGGACCGACTCGATTTGGTGCCGTCCTCCCGGATCTTGGGAACACACCGGAAGTCACTGTGAACGTACGTATCAACTTTTAACCCATTCAGGACTGACTTGTTGCAGGCAGATTGCTACATGCACTACGTATGTAAGCATTCTGGATCACAAATCGGTTTTCCTTTTATCGATTTGGATAGTCTTGGGCTTCCTGTTTTAAACTATTTGAATCATCTCTGTTGCTTGTTTGCGCTGGGCACTTTAATAAGTGCCCAGCGCAAACAAGCAACAGAGATAATTCTGGTTTGGTGTGTAGACGATGCCATTCAGAATATATGTATTTGAGCTGCCCGCATGCACCGCATGAAAATATTCCATTTGATTAAATCTTTCGTTCCAATATTCCCCCTATATTTGTTTTTTTTTTTTATAAATCAGGCGCTTCTTGTGCCTTAGGCCCTGAATCGGAGCATTTCCAATTGTCTAGCAACTCGTCCAATTATGAAGCTGGCTCTGTGGTCAACGTGACCTGCAAAGAGGGGCTCTCTCTTTATGGACCGGCATCATTTACCTGCAGTGCAACGGGACAATGGTCGCAACTCCCATTGTGCGAAGGTAATGACGGGTTTAATATGCGTGATTCTAGGCCCAGGAAACCTAACAAGGTCGGAATACCTGATTTCACACATGCATGCACACCCATGTGACTGAAAACATGTGTGATTATGCACGCGTGTGATTGTAGATCATGAATGATTATAGGTTTTAAAATACGTCCAATTTCGTGAGGCAGTCGACGTAGCTAGCAGCGTCGACGTGTTGTAGCTGAATAGGACATGCAAAGCCAGTTCTACACATGATGAGATTGGCAGAGCTTTCCAATTTGTTACTGCTCCCGTTGCTTTACGAATTGAGACGGGCCTTTGAAAGATAAGGGGAACTGTTTCAGTGTTAAAGCCCGGAGAGTTTACTTTCTAGACCTTGTGCCGTCCCAATGTCACAACGTTAAGCCCTGAAGACAATAGAGACGTCTGTTATATCAGTACGTGTTTTTATTTTGCTATAGGACAGTTGCTCCCTACTCTTGAGCTCGCACCATGCCGCCGACTGACTTGATACTTTTTTTTTACTGGTTCACTACTTTTTTTTCCTAGTTCACTACTTTTTTGTACTGGGTCACTACTTTTTTTTACTGGTTCACTACTTTGCAAATCAACCTTATCAGTCCAAAAACAACAAATAACTCCAAAGCATGAAAAAGGCCAAAAACGTAAACCAAGAACATGTGCAATAACATGTTATTCAGAAAGACAGGACAAGTGAATGATTAGTCAGTCCATTGTTCATGACGGTCTCCGACAGTTACGTCGGCAAGCGAGCCTCCACCACTGCCAAAGCAGCGTGGGCTCTGCAGGAGGGTTCAAATTTCAAACTTGAAGTTATACGCCTACAACCGCGAATGCACATGATACAGGACTGACTTGATACTAGACTGACTCACGACTGCCATCCAGAGCACATGAGAGGTCTGTCTACACTCCTACTCGGCAAATCTCCATTATAGCACAAAGCCCTTCTCAACAAACAGTGTTGATATTGTCCACACAAATCTTAAAATATGGACTGGAATGGTCAGTCTCGGTCAGTGTCGTGCCACGTTATCGCATGAGCGAGCTGATTGTTTATTAACCGGTGATGGTAGTGGACATTACAACCTAACTTGTAATTCCTTCTTCCTTTTTTTCTTTTCTAACAATTTTGAGTATTATGAAGTAAAGTATATACGATCGTAATGCAAATTTACCCAGCGGCCACGAAGAAAATACTAGAGAGGTTAACAGTAAAGTATGTTTCTTGTGTGTGTGTTTTTCAGCTACGCTCTTGGGGCCAGCTGCAACAACAAGCCATTCACCGCCTCCAGTTTATGATGGCAATTGGATTGGAGCCCCAGCAAGTATTGCTTCCGTTTGTATTCTCGTGATAATCCTTGCAACATTGGTAGTGCTTTCCATGGTCTGCCGGATCCTAGGAAAGAGAAAGAAAAGCAGAGATCAAATCCGCCATCACAACCAAGCCCCAAACCCTGCTGTAGATGCAGCCGCAACAAGGAGACGCGTAGAAACATCACAGCCAAGGGCTAGTCGCCCTGGTACGGAACAGGCAGGGCAACTAACGACAATTGACACTCTCAACTCCGAAAAAGCAACTGGAGAAGGAGAGCCGACATATGATATCGTCAAGTAAGGCCTAACCAAGCCCACTGTAAACACGTGTGAGGAACGTGAAGATGTGTACCAGGATTGGGCAGCAAGGTCATCATTGTGTAAATAGAATCCCAACTTTAGACTGTAGATCGAGATAAGCAGAGCACGGGAAGGACAACGCGAAAAACACCATCATTATTAGAATGCATTTTGGCGATCGCATGCGTTTTTCTACTTTATAACACTGCTTGTTCATTCTATTTTGCTCTACTCTTACTCATCGGCAGATATTTTTCCAATTTGTCCCTTTTCCATTCAATCCATCTACTGATATTTGATTTTCATTCTCATGCGTGTAGGAGAGATTGTCTTAGAACACCAAAGTATGTGTGCAAGTCGAAATTTGCAGTTGGGTTCCCTTTGGGGGGGGGGGGTAGATCGACTGACTGTGCAAAGAGAAAATGGTTCTGAAGGGAACCTTGAAACTTGCATACCCCTCGAAAATGGCCGAAAAATCAATTTATTTAAGGGTCTACAAACCAGTCACGCCACAGAGTAAACGAAAAAGCTACGAACAAAACTCCATCAAGCCAACATTGCCTCAAATTAGAAGAGTACTTGAAGCAGTACCGCTTAGCGATGCCAGCGTTTCAGAAGACGAGGTCCATCACTCCTGGCGCCCCAAATGATCATCTTGAAAATAGACAATTTACAAGCGCTGATAAAATAGCTAGCTACGTCCTCGATTAGCAAACACTCTACACCGACAGCTAATAGAATACATCTATTAACACTGAAGACATGTCCTCCATCTTCATTTTGGAGGTTTCTTGAAATAATGTTTTTGAATTTTTCCACTCAGCCATGCTGAGGCCCGGCCAAACTTATACCTGCGCAGGAAAGCTCGCCCCTCCGCGACGTCTCCTAGGCAATTTCTACTCCAATACTATTCCCAACGCTGAAGAACAAAGTGTATTGTTGACTCTGACAAGGAACAGCAGGGTTGGTAACTTGTCACCCCAAACCACACGCTTCTCCTTGCGCCACCGACGATTTTGGTGCGACAAATGATGCAACAGTCCCTGAAGGCCTGGTTGCAGTTTTTGAATTTTATTCCAAGATGAACGATGGCCACACACGGACGAAAACTGGCAAAATGGAACGCAGTTATAGTTGGATATGATCGAGTGGTTGAGAATAGCATATCTATAGGTATTCAGGAAAAGTGTGTTGCTCCCTACATGGGAGCTCGCGGTTTTCCTGCCGACTTGAATTCTCACTTGACTGACTCACGAGTGCCATCCAGAGCACGCGAGAATTCCATCGAACTGTCCACTCGGCAAACCTGCGACAAAGCACCACACCCTGTTCCGAGCCCAGCCACCTTCAGTTCTGTGCCCTGCTAAAAGCGCATCATGGCTCCGTTTAAATGTTTTTCGGCTAGTGTGTTTCTGTGGTATAGCGGACTGAAGAATAGTAAACGTGTTTTGCAATATACTTCATATAATATAATATAATATAATAATATAATAGTACAAGTATGTTCCCATTCCGTTTTTGCTTTGGTGTAGCCCTGAGGTTGATTGCTTATTTATTTCTACCCTTCCTCTCTCCATACTTCTGTCCCCCCCCCTCTCTCTCACTCCTTCTGTCGTCCACATGTATCAAAGGAGACGAAATCGCCTGTTTGTGGTGCGACGTTAAATAAACTTCTACAACAACAACAACAACAACAACAACAACAACAACCCTGCTCAATACACAGTGTTTCGTTGAATTAACTCCTCATCAGTTGAGCTTGAGTAGGCTGAGGAATATTTTACCTGAAGGGCACCACTTATGGTATATTGCTCTCCAGATACAAATATCACCAGGGATACAAACTTACATTGACGCTCCGTTTCCAGCGGGACAAACACCTCGTGAACACCAGATAGCGGCGTGAGTCAGTGTCGCTCGTGGAGGTGCTGAACAAGCGCTGAGGACCATCGGCCATTCACAACGTTGTTGCCTCCAAAACATTTAATTCGCAAGACCACGCTGGGTACAACAATGTGAAGAAGAGGTTCGGCGATATTTGGGGAATTGTGTGTTCCTCATGTTGATAGGCAACCTGTGTAGATCTGGGATCACGCACACATATATAGAGAGAAGAAAACATTGCCCTTCTGTGAATCTCTGCAATACGTGTATTGCATCAATGCCCTCTTGGTCATTGAATGATCCTCTAGAATCACCTATCTTTGAACCGTACATTCAATTTGAATCGCACGGTATTTCCTGAAGTAAAGTGCACTGCGGATATACATGTATAATTATTAAGGTTTTGTACCTGAGATTTATGGGTTTCAATAAGAGATATTATACCTCATTCCATATTCACCCAAATACAATTGGCCATCTACATAAGTGGTGAATATTGCTGAATATTCACCACTTGTATTCCCCACTGACCTCACATTCACCACTTATATTCACCAATTATATTCACCACTTCTCGACTTGCTGTACGTGTAAGTTTAAAGAGAGCAGTACTCGGTGCTGCGCTTGATTCCTCTTCAGTCAGCGCACCGGAGCTGCCGAGTGCCCTAGAAAATTTCTACGCTAACTTCCGTAAACAGGACTTTTCTGAGAACAAACGAAATTCCTTGCTTGCCAGATGCCGCTGGATCCGCATGTGACCAGGTGCTGGCAAGTCATCAACCAACAGTGAGCATCTTCACAGACGGAGCGTTCCAGCGAGCAAACAAGATTTTGAACGCTCAACATGTCAATGGCCCGATGATTGCGGATCAAGCGGCAAGCCAGGAATTTCGTTTGTACTCAGAACAACCCTATTCACGGACGTTAGCGTAGAATTTTCCTACGGCACACAACACATCCGAAGCGCAGCCTGAAAAGAAAAGAAGTGAGGGTAGAACCGCTTGGCTCGCTGCTTATAAACGGACTCCTGAATTGGCGCGATTATCGCGGATTGGTCAAATCTTCGCGTGAAACGAAACCTCTCTCGGATTGGTCAAATCTCCGCGTGAAACGAAACCTCTCTAATGATTGGCTTCCGCCACAAAGCTGCACGAGCGTGTTCTCCATGGTGATTGGCACGAGGGTGTTCACCATGGTGATTGGCACGAGCGTGTTCTCCATGGTGATTGGCACGAGCGTGTTCACCATGGTGATTGGCACGAGCGTGTTCACCATGGTGATTGGCACGAGCGTGTTCTCCAAGGTCGTCACCTCCCATGCCACATGCACCAGTACGTGTGCACGATCGATTGAACAAGATTCTGGACACGCCGCCCTCGGATTCAGGCAAGAACACGCCAGTTTGTTTACGATACTGAAGCAACAACGACTTACGTTAGTTCTGCGTACATGTACATGTATGACCAACAGGACTCGTTTGTTGGGTTTTAGGGACGAGAGGGTGAATTTGGAGAGGTATAAGTCTAATATTACTTTCAGCCTCGTGAATATGGGCGAATATTCACTAGTTATGCAAACCCCGGCTTCGCCTCGGTTTGTATACGTATAGGATATTGACCAAGACGAGGTCTATATTTCCCATATAGACTGAAGTCGAGGTCAATATCCTATTTATCACGATTCCTTTGCCATAACCCCAAAATTTGAACCTTTTGGAGCTATTTTAACATTTTAGTATAGCATTTGTAATAGTGTACATAGGATGTTGCCTATTTTGGGTACAAGACTGTAAGAACAACAGAGTTCAGTATCTGCAGCACAGTGGCTGGGTGGTATATGGAGTTGCTTGAGATTCATAATGTTGTGAGTTCAAATCCTGGTTGTTCTCTTCCTTTGTCTTCTTTCTTTCAATTTTCTAAGTCCCTCCAAAGTCGAAAGATTACAATGCCTAAGTGGTCGATACAAGCGGTCGATATAAGCGGTTGATATTGCGGCGATATGGGTAATATAGGACCAATCAAGGATCACGAGAATTAGTGGAGGTCGATATAGAAGAGTGATAATAGTAAATATTCGCCCATATTCACTGGCCTTAAGGTAATATTATGTATATATGTAGGACTCAGTGACCAGTCAAGGCCCCGTGACCAATCACGGTCCCCGTGACCAGTCAAACAGTCACAAACCCCCCATGACCAGTCACAAAATAGTTTACCAGTCACAATGCCCCGTGACCAGTCACAAATCACCATACATGTACATGTGTAAAGTACACAGTTCGTGACTGCTCGCAGGGTGCTTCGTACTGCAGGATTTGTTGTGGAAACTATAATTCCCTATGACCGGTCACAGAATACAGTTGTGACCACTATAATTCCATGCGAACAGTTACATGTGGAATGTACAGTTGTGACCACTCTTTCTCTGTGAGTAGTCACAGGCAGAATATAGGTATTTCTGTATTACAAGAGAGATTGGAGGCTTTGTCACAACTCTGAGTTTCACGTATTACTGCGATCGTCAGGCAACTGATGGCTCCTAAACGGGCAGCCTGAACATTAGGGGGAGCAAGGTGGGAAATTCTGAGGGGTATCATAGGCGACGGGTATTATAGTGCAAGAGTCAGGTGCAGGCGTGAAGTTGCCAAGTCTTCAGACTTGGGGCTATGCAGCAGCAGTTCCAGCGTGAATGACATAGAATAGAGCTGGGGACCACACATGCCCACACCATTACGCACACATACACCCACACTCTCTCCCTTTTCTCACATACACTCACACGCGCGCGCGCGCACACACACACACGCACACCTGGCCTGGTGTACAGCAGCCAAATGCTTAGCCACGCCACCCCCGAGACAGGGGGAGAGTAGAAGAGAGAGTTTGAGACACACGCACACACACAAACACACACACACACACACAAACACACACACACACACCTGGCCTGGTGTACAGCTGCCAAATGCTTGGCCACGCCGCCCCCGAGACAGGGGGAGAGTAGAAGAGAGAGTTTGAGACACACACACACACACATCCACACACACACACACACACACACACACACACACACACACACACACACATCCGTACACACACACACACACCCACCCACACACACACACACATTCTCTAAATCTCACACACACACACACACATTCTCTCTCTCTCACACACACACTCTCTTTCTCACGCATGCACACACACACACACACACTCACACATGCGCGCGCACACTTACTCACACACACACACACACACACACACACACACACACACACACACACACAAATAGGCAGCGGGACTACCAGCTAGATTCACGTGACCTTGCGGACAAAGTTACGGAGGTAGAACTTGTTTTCATGACGACACTTGGACACAAGTACTTCTGTATTATTATTTTATCTCTTTTCAACCAATCCACAAGCCAAGAAGAGATGCGTAGACGGAAGAACCGTACTCTTGGTGATACTGATCGCAAACATGATTAATTCCTCCAGGCCATTGAGCACCCAATTCTAAACCTTATCTAAGCAAAGCAGCATGCCAGTTCAAGAACATCTCGTCAGACATACATATCGATACATGTCTGGTGCACTCTCACTAACAAGCAGGCATCGCAGGCTACATTCGCACCAGCAATCAAAAGAAGTTGAAGTGAGTGAATATTTCTATAAAATTAATAATTGGAAGACAAATGAAGGTGTGGAGGATCGCCCAAAAACACTGACAAGGAGACAGTAAACGGTACACAGTACTCGTATGCATGTACTTATACACGTTATAGCAGCACAACGAGAAAGACCATGATGCATAATGTTGCATCAATAAATTTTACAGAGTTATTTTGGGAGTAAAAATGAAGATGTGTTCAAAGCAGTAAACTGCGTAAGCACTACGTTGAGCCAGAATATTGAAATACAGCTTCCTGTAGTCAAAACAAGACACTCACACTTCTCTGGTCTAGTTCGCCATTCTTATCGATAAACATGACTTGATTTAATTTCTTACGATGGTTCTTGAGAATGGATCAATGATGTCTTGAATAGATGTCTTCCTGAACGACTTCAACTGAGAGGCAGTTTCAGTTTCAACAAGCTGGACATTGTTTTTCTGTGGAGTCTTCCACAAGAAAGACAGAGCTACACACACGAAGGTGCTTGATGTACTCAGTACCTTCTTGGAAATGAACATAATTATTTTCATTTCCATCTTCATTATATTTTCGTCTCTGCATCGTCGACGATGTCCACTTCTGACTCCGTAATCTTGTCACCCATCCTCTCCAAAAACACAAATCGAGTGCTGCTTGCATGCTGGATCAGTTGAAGTCAGTCTCTGCTCTAGCAAGATCGGCATGCAAAAATTACATGACTGAAAATATTCCGAAATAGCTTTTCTGAACGACGAAGTTCGTTCTTCAAATATGATGAATAGCACAACCTACTAGCCAGAACATCCTCTCAAAAGAGATTCTATCTGAAGCCTGCAAGATTTTCGACCACCCTTCGTTTTGGAGAGGAGCCCACACACACCAGACTCGAGCTACAAGTAAACTACGCGGAGATCGAGAGTTGATCGAAATCTTTCTTGCTCACTTCTGAAACCTGTGAAGGAAAAAAGTATGCTGAACGCGTGAATGCCTACAGTTGAGTCGTAATATTTTGACGTGGATCCTGTGACCGTTCACAGAGAAAGTCGCGGCTGTTTCTGACTTGTCATCGGGATTCAAACTGGTGTGTGACTTTATGACTGCTCTTCGGGGATTTGTGACTGTTTGATTGGTCAGGGGGTCGTGATCGGTCATCGAGACGTGACTGCTCACTGAGTCCTACATATATATACATATTTCCAAGGATGGAACTGTCATGTCCTGCATGATATACTCCACACTCTGTGGCACAACAAGTGACTCAGTCCTTTTAGTGTTGAGTTCAGCCATTGCTGTGACCTAACGGTACATTACTGAATGATATAGGTGCTGACGTGAGCAATGACGTGCATAGTGACTCATTCCTCTTCTACACAAGGCTCCTTTTTGTCACCAAGAAATACCCTTTTTAGATGTGACTGGAAATGATCGTCATGATGCGCAGCAGGTTCAGTGCAGTAGACTCAATCTGCCGAGTAACATTATCCAGCAATAGCTTGATACCTGTATTGCGTCGAGTTTCCTACACCAAACACAAGTCTCGCCCCACGACATCCCCAAAAAACAATCTCTCTGGTTATTTAAAATCACAAAGTACTCCCGCTCACAGCATGTAATAATTATGGGTACATATTTTGGTGCATGGCGTGCTGTATTGAAAGCATTTAGCACAGATGTAATGAACCTTTATTGTAAAGTCGAAAATATGCATTGCCTAACGGACAAGAATTTTTACACTAAGAGGGTGTTAAGGCCAGTTCTGTATATGAAGCTAGCGAGATTACTGTGGTTTCTAGTCCTGGAAATGCATAGCCTCATCTCCTAGTTATTTATTCTCAGTTACTTTCTGTCATGCCGAACATCTTTTGTCTCTTATATGAATCATACAGCGTGTGATTTTCATCACCTTCAAAGCGAATCCTTCATTAGATAAGGAGTTGCTGGACAAACGGCCTTGTAAGTGGGCAGCGGAGTGTTCCTCGAAGATAATTATCTCGCAACTATGTCGTGGACATAACCCCTGCGCCTTCGTACAATCCACATACCAGCTCGCTGTGGATTTTGTTGCGTTTCAGGACTTGCTGATGACTGCTGTGCCTCGGTGAGCGGAACAGATGGATTCGGATGGTGGCCAGTCGAAATGTTTTCGGAAACCAGATGGCCTCTGTGTGTGTGTGTGTGTGTGTGTTGTGTGCGTGCGTGTGTGTGTGTGTATCGTGTAGGAACGACAAGTCTTGATACGAATTAGCACGAGTGCAAGAAATGAATAGAAAAGCATGGCACCACTTGTGGATAAGGGCTCCATGTGGACAACGAACACCAATTTGAATTCTTTCCGGTTTGCATGCTCGTTCGGTGGATCCATGTGTATTGCCTATTTTTCCCGGCTGTTCCACTGGTCTTACGTAGCTGTGCTGTGCACTAGATACAGTGTGTAGGCGAAGAAGCACTTGTGTGCAAAACTCCGTGTGTAGCCTTTAATCAGGATACCGCATGCATGTTGCTCATGTGTTGTCTGGTGATCGGAACATGGAGCATCATTGTACGTTTCCCTGATCCAAGGTTGCACGAAAGCTTCCAGTTAGCTATATGTACACAAATTGTATGTTGCGTGTACTGCTTTTGAAGCATTCCTTGTTTGTATCGTGTACTTGTACTTGTCGCTCACTGCCAAAACTGGTCACGTGGGTCTCCCCGGGAGAGGGGAGAGAGACTCAAAAGGAATCTTGGAAAGATGACTCAACTGGCTATTGAACCGCCCAACGGCCGACACCCCCTGAAATCCCCCAAACTCTGGGTGGACTTGCAAATGATCCCACTTATGGGCTCACCACACCTCAGTAAGTGGGTGAGGACAAGGTGCAGAAAAAGGATTGACGCATCAGGGTATCCATCCAGGGATCCAACTGCAGTTACCCCTGCCCCCACTGAAGGTAATACTTGCTACTAGTGTGGGTGGCTAAATCAGAGTGGATCTGATCAAACCGTCACTAGCATCATTGATTACACAAGAGTTAATCTAGCCAGAAGCAGTCCATGGTTAACAGGTATGTATACTTCAAATAGAAAGTAACCTGAAACCAACAAAGGTGGCAGATACAAAAATACACCTTTAAGCAGCCGAGGCTGTTGGCAACAGACCCAACACAATCAAGCATAAGTGTACCCACCAACCGGACTAGCTGGCATCGTGTACACACCTATACACAGCCGTTTTCCCATTTTCAGCGTTCTGTGTTATGGCGGTATTAGTTCGCTCGTTGGCAACGTCCCAAGCTTTCCGCAGAAACCTGTTCGAGAGTAGTGGGCGGATAGTTGGACCACGTGTTGTGGGAAACTGACCAGGTGTATAAGGGAGGCTGGGGAGGGAGTATTTGTACACGCATTTGGACACACCAGCGTGTATGTTCGTGTCTGCTTGATGCTGGTGTATGTCATAAAGTGCCGTCGTTCGCAACCATTTTTTATATCTTCTACTATAGTATGGAGAATACCAAAAAAATATGGAGAAAACTATCAGATTCCTCTACCTGACGGTCTTCCATTGCGCATCTACAAGTACATGCAATCATGAAGTGAATCCAAATAATTTAAATAGCACACTGAGTTTCATACGCCCTCATAGAATGACATTCAACAAGCTACTAACGCCGGTTGAACTCATGAATTTCCAGCATCATACGTTGGCTAGAGATAATGGATTCGTGAAAAAGCAAGAAAGCTAGAGGACGTTGCATTAGTGAGCAACCTTTATAACGTACTGGCCTCATTCTTCTCCAGCTAGCAAACTGAATATGTTTGTACGTAGGAATTTCTGTTATTCGCACATGTGAAGAGGTAGACAAAAAATGAAACGTGATAAGGTTTGGTTGAAAACTAAACAAGAATTGTTGCCAAGCAGCGAAATAACTGAAATGTCCTGAAACGGCAAAACCTTGCTGAACATATTTTCTGCAGTGAGAATCATGGTCATATTGGGGAAGAGTTATATGAATAGTTTCATGCATTCCGTGCAAAATATACGTCCAGGAGAGAAAAAATGTGGCGGAAGGCACCTTAATAGGAGTATGTGATGCAGAATTGTGATAAACTGAAAGTCAGGCAGAAAGCGATTATGCTGCAATTTCACACGAGTCTGAGCATTGCTTAAAAGCAAAATGTTCAGGGATTTAAAAAGAATACATGTGCTCATGCACAGAAATTCACAAAAGAATATGTTTGCAGCGAAATAGGAAGTGTACCTTTGTCACAACACGTATAAGCATGATTATTTAGACCTTAAGAGTAGCCTATAATGTTACAGTATGCGCCAATCGTAAAAAAAAGAAGTGGCAATAGCAACATGAGATGATGATGCATACGGAATCACGTGACCTTTTGTGAAATGCGATTATTTAGGGGTTTGGAAAAACGCATGTGCAAATGCATTTGTACAATGCAAACCAAATGCATAAGCAGAAAGTTGATGGTACATATAGCCTACAGGGTACGGTGTGTGCAATTAGAAAAGAGAAGTTGCAGTGGGAACATGAGGAGATGGTGCATACAGAGCCATGGAACATGGGGTGAAATGCTAAGGTGTAACATTCTGGGAAAGAAAAAGAACACGCCCAATGAAGTGCATTGCGTAATGCAGTGGGACAGCCACTTTCCAGCTAACGATCACTTCGCATCGCCTTTACATCAATGGAGGCATACGTGGTGGACTCGTCTTCGCAGGTTGGAGCAGGTGTGCCATTTGGTCCCTTTGTGATTTGTACGGTCGTGTACAGGATTTCAGGCTCCTCAGATGCTGCTCCTGTATCTGCATGTCCGTTGCCTAGCGTGGTCTCATCATTGGTCTCTGGTTGGGGTTTTCTCGGTGGAGGTTTAGTAATGACCACTTCCTCGTAATCATTCGTAGCTACCGGGCTTGTTGTATCCGGTTGAGCGTCTGCTTCGTCTGGGCAGGATTGAGCAGTCTTGGCTGTATCCGAGGAAATACCTGTGACATCAGTAGTGCTCGCATAGACAACATTTTCCACATCACTACAAGCATCGCCAATGGTGCCGTACTCCAATCCACTCTCGGCGGCCTGTTCGGAATTTTGTTTCCAGCGAGACCCTGCGGATGATGCTTCATTGTCAAGAACTGTCATTTCATCTGCGACCATAAGCTTTCCTACGCCTGAACGCTGCCGTATGAAGAGAGCAATGACGATTATAACCAAGATGACTACGATAAATCCGAGGCAGCCAATCACAATCAGATACGGAACACTGTCAGAGCCATTCTCCAGCTGTGAATCCTTGTCGGGTATGTTTGGCAAGGCTGAAAGTACAGTGAGAAAAGAACTGCATTGTTAGTCCCAGGACAAGCATCATAGAACACCAAGGATAGGCAATATATTGAAGCCACCGTGTTCAATAGTGGAAGGAACCAAGACCATAAACAATGCACTGTCAATGGATGCCGATTCGTCTTCCCAGGAACGAGTTTATCCTCATTTCGCCGGTGACTGTTTCTAGAAATAACCATAAAAATACGTAATAGAAGGATACTTGGAAAACCATTTCTGTTAAAGCGATGTCTTTGGAAGTTGAAACAGGCGACATGGAGAAGATCGTATTAAAGGGGCACGCCGGCTTCATTTTCGACGCCGAGTTTTCGATGCCAAGACGAAGGTAGGTGAAAGAGAAGACCCCTCGAACAAGAACGAGTCTCCAGAAGCGATCGAGTCGAGCAGGAGGACGACTTTTGAATTTCGCCGAGCGAGCGCTGATGACGTAATGAGGGATTAGCTTGCCAGTGGTAGGCTTGTCCACAAAATGTTTTCAATTATTTTTGAATTTTGGTAGGATTTTCGCACTTTGATTTTTTTTGGAATTTTGGCCCCATCAGGATTGAATTTTTGGCCGTTTTTGGAGAACGACAGTGCTGTCACATCTGGAGAGTACATGTGCTGCTAAATAGTACCAAGTTTGACATGTGAAAAAACAGTAATTTCAAATACACACACCTTTGACCTTTGACCTTTTGACACCCATCCCCGAATTTGGAAGCACACAGACACACATAATAAGCAGTTTGTGGATTTTCTGTTTCTGTTTGGAACTATTGGGTATGAGTACTGTAAAAACCATGGCAACAGATCGAATTTCTGCATTTTGGGGAATTTTTTGAATTTTCTTAAAACATTTTGACCGTTTTTTTCGCTTTTTGAATTTCAATTTTGGACAAAATAATTCGCATGATGTGGCCACCCTTAGCCAGTGGACATGAATCTGCGCACATACATTTCACATACTTTTTGGCCAATTTTCAATCGAAGAGGAGGTTGTTTTCTATGTTCTCTCAACGTCGTGAGCGATCCCGTCTTCTACACCCTTCCAGGTACCCTCAAGGTCCTCCAGTGGAGAATATTATTTATCTCCAGCGAAGCGTTGTTGATCCGCTAAATTCATCTCGAGAGACATTCACCCAGTGCAGTGCTGATAAATGTAGAATGTTGAATCTGTGATAATTGTTGACGATGGAGAGAGAGGCTTATAGCCGCTGTCGCAGGGAGTAACAAGTAACAACGGGGAGCCCGTTTGTATCACCTGAACAACCAGACTGGAAAGCAGATGTGATGCTAACAACAACGCTTCGCTGGAGATAAATTCTCCTCTGGAGGACCTTGAGGGTACCTGGAAGGGTATAGAAGACTGGATCGCTCACGACGTTGAGAGAACATAGAAAACAACCTCCTCTTCGATTGAAAATTGGCCAAAAGGTATGTGAAATGTATGTGCGCAGATGCATTTCCACTGGCAAGCTAATCCCTCATTACGTCATCAGCGCTCGCTCGGCGAAATTCAAAAGTCGTCTTCCTGCTCGACTCGATCGCTTCTGGAGACTCGTTCTTGTTCGAGGGGTCTTCTCTTTCACCTACCTTCGTCGGCGTTGAAAATATAGCCGGAGTGCCCCTTTGAATTTATTATATCAGGTAGGAGTTGATGTGGATTGCTTGCTTCTTCTCATGTTTTCTGTATCTGACCCACATATCGTTTTCTGTATCTGACCCACATATTGTTTTCTGTATCTGACACACATATCGTTTTCTGTATCTGACACACATATCGTTTTCTGTATCTGACACACATATCTACTGGGTTTAATCTAATCTGTGCAAGGCTTGTGACTTTCCTATTGCCGTTCTTGGGAACTCACTCATGCAAGCATCAGCAATTTTTATCCAAATTGTATATTAGACCAGGGTGGAGAGCCAATGATTAATTTATAAGAATAAATGAGGAGCAAGGAACTACAAGTGGTGTACATTATAGCGTAACTTGTAGTTCCTTGGTTCTGATTTCTTCTTACATATTGTGCAAGATAACAATACATCAATAACTTAGTTACAGAGCGTTGTCCTGTCACCGTTTTCAATGGATTCTGCAACCTTCAACTCTAGTGTATATGTTATATCCTACTACTGTTTATCTATTTTTTGTCAGTTACGAAATAAATGTGACAGGAATTGTGAGTCAAGTCAAGTCTGCGGCATAACGCGAGCTCAAGTGTGGGAAGCAAACCCATTTCTAATAATCGTCGCCGAATTCGCAATCACTATTTCGTACTTTTGTGCCCAGCGCAGGCTTGCGATTAGCTTGTTTGGAGGTGACAGCGTTGGGAATGACCAAGGGTCCTGGACGCCTGCTCTCACCGTCCAGGAGTGACACTGACTCGCGCTGCTATCTTGTGATCACGAGGTGTTTGTGGAAACGAAGCGTGTCTGTGAGTTTGTATCCCTTGGGACGTTTGGGCCTGGAGAGCATTATAATATAAATGATGCTCTTCAGGCACAACCTCCCTCAGCGTACTCAAGCTCAACTGACGGGGGTTGAATTCCCGAAACTTAGTCTATTGAACAGGGATTGGTGTTTTCTTGCAGGTTTGCCGAATCTAAGGTTCGATAGATGTTTGGTGTTCTCTGGATGGCAGTCTTGAGTCAGTCAAATGTCAGGTGAAATCAGCAGAATAGCGGTAGCTCCAGTGTGGGGAGCAAAACCAGTTCTAATAATCAAGGCGGAAGTCACAGCCACTACTTCTGACTATTATCATAGCTATAATAATAATAATGCATATTTCTATCCACCGTAAAGGGAGCTGGGTATGTGGGCTGTGGGAGCTGTTGGGCTGTTGGCCGGTTAAATTTTGACAAGTAGCAGACAAGTAGCAGAGCAGCGGTGATCCATTTTTGGCAATCTTCTTCTCAGCAACCTTAAATTAATTTAGAAAACTCTGACTATAATCCCCTTCTGATTTTGTCTATTGAATTAAAGAAAATCATCATGCCACAAAACTGACAATGATATAATTATTGCCTAGCACAACATGTATATGTGAAAGTAAATATAGCAATATTGCTAAAGAGCGTTACTTACGTCTACAATCGGGAAGAGACGTTGTGTCCCAGCTGCCGTCCTCGGCACATTGAACTGTTCTATTGCTATAAAGATGGAATCCAGGGTTACAGACCGCAATAGAAGTTGCATTTATCGTGTGAATATTATTTAATGAAATGATGCTTCCGTTGTTGACGGCGGGAACATCCTTGCACAGAATACCTGGGTACAAGTGACAAAACCAATAGATATATTTCTGGAGGTTATTTTTTATAATGTGGGATATTACTCGAAAGGAATTCGGGTGGACACAACCATTCAAACTAACACATGTAGCCCAGCCATTTCGCGTGCTTTACAAAATTCATGATTTACACAGGTAGTTGAGAGCAATGATACAGTACAATTTTATCCAGAGAATCACGGTACTGAATTATATCACACATGTGCAGGGGAGGCTGCCAAAATTGCCCAGAGACACTGCATGGGGAAACTATGACTGTGCAAATGCAGAACCGTGGGCCCCAATGCACAGTTCTCGTATCTATCAACAGATAATGGACGCCAGAACCAGAATGACAGCTTCTGGCTTTGTCTTATTGATATGTACAAGGTTATTGGTGCACCAGCAAACTGCTCTATATCTCCACTCCTGTTCCGTTTTGTTCGTCCAAACTCACAACGCCTGTGTTCAAATTTAATATGTGTCAACATGCGATAGTCCGTCATTTCAATTGTCCCTCAGCTGGCTCCATCGGAACACCTTACTGTAAATCACAAGCGGAAACAGTACTTACTTTCACAAGACGGAGTAGCAGTTGACCAGTTACCAGATGGAAGACAAATTGAGCTGATGTCGCCAATAAGTTGATATCCCGGGTTACACGAATATGTTATGACATCGAACAATTTATTGGAGATGAATGTCGCAGCTCCATGATCCGGTGTAGCCAGGTCACTACTGCATCGAATTTCTGGGTACCAATGACAGAGGGGACAGCCAGAAAGTCTCCATACTAGGTTCATCAAGGCCTATCTCTTGATCAACTATGGAAAAAAAGTCTCATCAAGATCCGACAAACAATCATACCCTAACAACCAGCTTCAAAACAAATGACAGTTAATTTTTTGAAACTTAGTATGCACAGAACTTGGTGCAAAAACTCAGTTTGGTAATCCGAGCTGTCTTTGGTTTATAATGGTAACCGTATTGATGGAATCAGGTTCTGATGTCTCCCTCAGCTTAGCAAGCTTCGCCACTGGCCCTTCTTTAGCTTTTCAAAAATCGGTAATTGTAGTTTATATAATCCAATATTTTGCGAAAGCCTAACGTTAAACAAAACCTCTCACCTCAATCTGTGCTACACCCAAAATTAATATTGCTGATCAAACCAAGACGTTTTGATATCAGCTGTAATGTAAAACCGCGCATCGGTCGGCACCAAGCCGCTGTTATTGGGGGCATTTTGATATTCCTTTGTAGAGAAAACACAAATCAGTTGCACCTCTTTAAATCCTGGTGACTAGGAAAAAAGGTTGGATCCGGGTGGGAATGACATGCTTGTTGGCTAGAATGACAATGGTGGTCGGTGCTATCATTGGACGAACTGTTGCATTCTTTCGAAAATCAACAGGTTTTTATGACCCGTGTGAAGGTGCAATCCCAATCTGAAACCAAAAAAATGAGAGATGTTTTTTTATTGCTACTGGCCCCGAAGGAAAATGTCGTCCGAACTTGTCAGCGCAAACGAAGTCAATGACAAGTCCATCCTTTCTGCTGCGTGGAACTAAGCAGTGTAGTACCGGAAAAAATGTGTGGTGAATTGATAGGAAACTCACCTTGACACTTTGGAGCATCAGATGACCAATATCCCTTGCTCATGCAGACTGATGATGAATTGCCTACGAGTAAGTATCCTTCATCGCATGCGAATTCAGTGACACCAAGGACAGCGTGAGAGTTTCTGACAATGGTTCCGTTAGCAGGTTCACCCAATTTTGGGCACTGGATCACTATTCAGGCAGAATAAAATGCAAGGAAAAATGCACACAAATTCAACAAACGTTTCACTGTTTACGTCCTGGGAAACACATGGATGTACCTAATATTTCGACTTACATCTGGTTGCACAGGAAAGGACACGGTAAAACGCAAGCACACAAGGGTATCTATTGTACACTTCGTTGGTACAAAATATGCACCAGGTTCTACAAACTGAACCAGATTTCCTCGATAAACCTCGCACACATATACATCCCACCAAGTTGCATCACTTTGGGATCCCGACTTTTTAAAGCCCTATTTGTGTGTTTCATCAACTTTCCGTTTCATGTACTTGGTCCGTGTCAGCAATATTGTCGCTTAACTTTCGACAATTTGAACTTAGACTTTGGACATGAACGCGTGCACTTGAAGTGATAAAACTTGGTACGATGAACGTTAAGGTATAGAATGACAACTAGCTGCGAGGAATTTATTGTCCAAGGAAGGGTTCCTACTTTTTTCGGTCCTCCTCGTCGCTGCTCTCGTCGCTGGCGACAAATATTTTTGCTCGATATCGACTCTCTTGCTTTTGCAAGCTCATCTCTCTTCCTCTCCGCTGCCTGGCTATTTTCTAAAGAGAAGTCGATCGTGACGGTCGCCTTCTCTATATAGGACTTCGCGTGGGCAGCACGACAGCCTGTATGGTTCACATCAGACGCCGTTCTTTGCAAGATTTTATTTTGAACGACGACGACGCGTACAGTACTTGCAAATCTCCACGATGCGCTGGATACTCCGAGCGTTGAGCTGGAGGTAAGGGAGCTGCGATCTCAGCTTGATGAGCGATCCCTGAGGTGAGCGATCTCGGCCGTTCAGCAAAATGGAGCTGATTCCGAGTAGCCGATTACTTTCTTGTGGCTTACGCTGCTCTTGCCTGCACGGCGTAAAAAGATAATCTATTTTGATGCGGCGCTGTATCAATCTGAATCGCCCACCTGTCGCTCTTGAAATCCACTCGAACTCTAGCTAGACCTTTCAGGTACTAGCAAACTAACTGGCTAACCAAAATTGGGATGAAACGGGCTGCCAAGTAAGCATTGGCGACATATAAACAAAGCTGAAAGATAAGCGACAATATCGCTGACGCGGACCAAGTACAGGAGACGTCACTCATATCGGTATAGTATGCTTGGGGTTGCTAAGCTTTGGCTTAACAAGAATACAACCATCTTACCTTCTTCACACATGGGTGTTTTAGATGACCAGGTTTCATTCTCCTTACATACTGCAGCTCTTTGCCCATTGAGTGCGTATCCATCGTTGCACGCAAACTCGATGATGCCAAATAGCACTAGAGAACTTCTTACAACGGTACCATTCTTGGGTGGAGCAAGTTGTGAGCATCGAATTGCTGGTTAGAACAGAACAAACATGAATCATCTGTCACCTTTCTGATAGTGGTAGATTTCCTATCCAAGTACGATAGACATCAATCCATTTTTAGCCTATGCAAACGTCATGTCGAGCGTTTTGTATGCAGCTCTCCTACTGACTAGCGAGCAGGCTGTATTACCACAGGTGTTACTGGCCAGGGAGAGGCGACTGAAAACAGCACTCTGCATAGATCTAACAATGGCAATGTTGATAGGCGCATGAATCTAGCAGTCACATCTGGCTGCGGCCAACTTCTCTTCGATTTGTGTGTTGTGATTTTTGTCTACGTCCCTGCGTGTGCCAGTATTATGTCGAGCAAGACAATACAAATCTCGAGCTATTCATCAACATCATCAACATCATCATCAATACGGAATCCAAACTAATTCATGAACCAGTTTGGAAAAATCTCTTCAAATTTATTACATGCGGTGAGCCTCTAGTGGCCGGTTTAGTGACACCACCGACTGCAGGGTCACTGGCAGCGTCGCCACCAGAGTCAACGAAAGTGTCAACAACAACCAGGAAGCTGGTGACTTCTGCGCCTGCAAGAATATTAGCAGAGTTTAGACACCGACCATCTAACTGTGAACCTACCTCAAGTATCAATGTTTGTTCTCTTAATCGTGAATATGATTATTCTGTAAGCGACTACCTCGCTGCGAATGGTGATTGTGCTCGACTGAATTCTTATAGCTGTTGCTCTGTTTTGTCACGTGACTTTGGTCGTCTTGCCCATCTGAAGGTTTTAAAAGAAATTATATTTACACTACCCAGCCACCTTTACATAACAAAAAGAAATTGAATTATCTTTCAAGTTCAACTGTAGTTTACTGACACCCTCTTTCCACTAGTCAATACCAGCATGTATTTGATATTTGTTTTCAAAGAGTCTGCGTTTTAGTTTCTCTTGCCTCGCTTCTCACGTTCTCGTTCTTTGGTACCTAAGTATCAGTCGGGGAAGTGTACTGCCTGAAAAGAGAAAAAAATTGCCACACCCGTCAGGACTCGAACCCAGAGCCTTGCTTGTCACGAGCAACGCTCTGACCACTGAGCTAAGGGACCAGGCTGAACCTAGGAGGCGGGGACAAGTTTGTCACTCCAAAGGCAGCTCACAACATAAACCACACAATAATAATTGTCATACGGATGGCACTTCGGTCTTCCCCCCCCCCCCCCTCCCAGGGGACCAACCACGGTCAGTTTCTGGACCCTACCATAAGTGAAAAATAATTTTGTTTTTTGAAAGGATTGGAAGAACTTCAAATTCAAAGTATCAGTCGGGGAAGTGAACTGCCGGAAAGGAGAAAAAGTTGCCAGACCCACCAGGACTCGAGCCCGGAACCTTGCTTGTCATGATCAACGCTGTAACGACTGAGCTATGGGACCAGGCTGAACCTAGAAGGCGGGGACAAGTTTTTCACTCCTAAGGCAGCTCACAACACGGTCCACACCTACTGATGGTACTTGGGCCTTTTCCCTTCCCCACGGGACCAACCACGGTCAGTTACTGTACCCTACCAGAAGTGAACGAAGGTGATCAATTTTTTTGAAAGGATTAGGATAACATCAAATAATTATTGAAATTATCAGTCGGGGAAGTGAACCGCCTGAAAGGAGAAAACATTGCCAGACCTACCAGGGTTCGAACCCAGGACCTTGCTTGTCATGAGCAATGCTCTAACCACGTATTGTGAGCTGCCTATGGACGGAAAAACTTGTCAGCACCTTCTAGGTTCAGCCTAGTCCCATAGCTCAGTGGTTAGAGCATTCCTCATGACAAGCAAGGTCCCGGGTTCGAGTCCTGGTGGGTCTGGCAACTTTTCCTCTTTTGAGGAAGTTAATTTCCCCGACAGATACTTTGAATTTGAAGTTCTCCCAATCTTACAAAAAATTAACCACTTCCTTTCACTTCCGGTCCGGTCCAGAAACTGACCGTGTTTGGTCCCCTGGGGAGGGAAAAAGACCCAAGTGCCATCAGTATGTGTGGCACGTGTTATGAGCTGCCTTTGGAGTGAAAATCCTGTCAGTGCCTTCTAGGTTCAGCCTGGTACCATAGCTCAGTGGTTAGAGCATTGCTCTTGGCAAGCAAAATCCCGGGTTCAAGTTCTGGTGGGTCTGGCAATTTTTTTCTCTTTTCAGGCAGTTCACTTCCCTAACTGATACTTTGAATTTGTAGTTCTCCCAATCTTTTCAAAGTACAGCTTGACATTTTGTTGTTTTCCGTCCCTCATTTCTCCCACCCTCTAAGAATGTTATTTCAGAGCAATTGTACAAATATTGCGAGTAGGTGAGGTCTAATAAGCAGCACTAGAAAGAAAGAGGATGTTCGTCAGGGCCCGGCTGCTAAAGTTCTGAGGCTGCTTCATAATTTTGTCTACTTGAAGTAGGCATATCACACACAGAAGGACAAACTACGGACAACATGTAACATTTTGTTTCTTTTTTCCTAAGAGCAAGCTGCATATCTTATCATTGAATTGGGGCATACTGGACAACCTGCTTTCATTAGCCATACACCTGACAGCTGAGTTTAAATCCTTCCCAGCTTGCAAAGACCAAGACGTCTGGAAAGCTTCCTACAGCCATGCAAAATCTTAGTACAGGAAATGCGGTATAGTGATACTGAGGGGGGGGGGGGGGTGCGTTCTTAAATTCTCTAGCTTCTAGGAGAAGAAGAAAAGAGAAGTCGAAGAAACTGGGATTCTTCAAGAACGGGTCTCGAAGAAATCAGAGATATTTTGCAGCTGTCAAGCAAAATGAAGCGCCAAATGGGCCGCGATCTTGAGTGCCACGAAAACATGTAAAGTATGCGCTGTGCGTATGCGAAAAGGGAAATGATCAACACGTGTATTTTAGCCTAGTTCGCATGCGCTGATCCCAAACCGCGGGAATCTCCAAGTTTTAACCACCTCTGAAGCTTGGAGAGCTTGGAGAGCTTTGGAGAGCCTCCTAAAATTCGGCGAGGATAAAAGAACAGCTGTCGAACTTTTCGGAGAGTCTCCCACTTTTCCGAGAGGAATTAAGAACGCACCCTAAGTGTCAGGTCGCTTAGACAATGTAGGTCTCAGTTCTCCTAACTGTTAGTCAGTTGTGTTCCTTTTTGTCCCACGCGCAGACTGTATATGATCTGGTTACGTTGGTTAACATTTTGGCCTTCGCCTTTGTACTAGATAACTTATCGCTACGAAAGTCGTGGACATCACGCAACTGCGTTTTAAAGAAAACGGGGTTTGTCAACTGACAACGGCTCTATTCAGTTGCTATTCACATTCGGCCTAAGGCCCTGGATGGTAAATTCTTAATTTGTGATGTCTAAAAATGATAAAGTCAGTGATTACATTGCATGATATTGACAATCGGTAGTGACCAATGGTACTTTTTTTCCTATACTTTAATCCTTGGCCTTTTCAGTGTTCATAAAATGCTTACGACAGCATGCCGGAGAATACCAAAGTATGTGGGCAAGTGGATCTCTCCGATGTCGCTCAAATTTTGCAGATATGTTCCCTTTGGGGTGTAGATCGATTGTGCAAAGCGCTTGAAAACGCCTTTGAAGGGAACCTTGAAACTTGCATACCCCTCACAAATGGCCGAAATATCACACTATTTATGGGTCTACAATCGAGCCTCGCCACAGCGTATATGAACATACTACGAACAAAACTCCATCAAAGCGACATTGCCTCACCTTAGAAGAGTTCCTGGAGCGGTAGCGTTTAGCCAGGCAAGGATCCCAGAAGACGAGGGTCATCACCCCCTGGCGCCACAAATGATTGTATTGAAAATAGCGTATTTACAAGCGCTGGCAAAACAGCCAGCTACGTCCACAAATGGCAAGAACTATACACCGGCAGATAGTAGAACACCTCGTCTAGCGCTGAGGACATGTCCCCCATCTTACGCCTGAGTTTTGTTTTAGATAAACTCTTTTGAATTTTTCCACTCCACCATGCTGAAATACGGCCAAAGTCATACCTGCGCAGGAAAGCTCACCACTCCGCGATTTCTCCTCGACAATTTCTACTCCAACACCACTCCCAACGCTGCAGAACAAAGTGTATTGTAGACTCTGACAAGGAAAAGCAGCGGTGATCACTTGTCACTCCAAACGACAAGCATCTCCTTGCGCCACAAATTTTCCCGCACAGCAAGGAGAGTTATGGATCCTTCACACTTCCCCCTTGTAATTCCGAACATAGTCCAACACTAAAATTCCCTTGTTTCGTGCCGATCCTCGACAAGAGCGGCTAGCTCGGTCCCTTTGTGTTGACTGGTACATGGTACGCTAACAGCACTGGCTGCATGCGGCTGTCGCGTGAACTGCATGGCAGATTTCTTACGTCATAAAGGATGTGACTTCATCATCAGTTCACTGGTCTTCGAGCTACTGTACATGGTAAGGGAAAGTCCCGGTTAGTAGGCCTGCAACACGGTCAAGGTGTTCTTGAGTGCAGTAACGACATGAGTGTGATCGCTTCCAGACCAACGGGCGTTCAAGGCGAGTAAAAAGCGCACATGATGAAGGTGACTCTGAAATCTCGTGATCCATGATCCACTTGGCAGTCTTGCGTCACAAGGCACGTGTTTTCACCGTGCCTCTTGCAAAAAAAATCAAAACTGCGCTCAGGACTTCAGTCACTTTTACATCAACGATCGCACCAAAAATTGTCGGTGGCGTGACTCGTTTGTAGACCCATAAATAGTGTGATATTTCGACCATTTTTGAGGGGTATTCAAGTTTCAAGGTTCCCTTCAGAAACTTTTTCAAGGGCTTTGCAACCGATCTACACCCCAAAGGGAACAAACCTGCAAAATTTGAGCGAAATCGGAAAGATCCACTTGCACATATACTTTGGTATTCTCAAACATGCTCCCTTAAAGTACGAAACGTGTCGGCCGAATTTCGTTTCACGTATAGGATACGACACTGGTGACGGTATGGTATGTTTGGGATGGCTCAACTTGGGCTTAACCAAGAATACAACGATCTTACCTTCACACGAGGGTGCGTTAGATGACCAGGTTCCATCCTCCTTACATACTGAAGATCTCTGCCCTTTGAGTGCGTATCCTTCGTTGCATGCAAACTCGGTGATGCCAAACACCCTCCGTGAACTTCGTACAAATGTACCATTCTTGGGTGGAGCAAATGGTAAGCATAGAATTGCTGGTGAGAAGAGAACAAAACATGAAGCAGCTCAGCCTCTCACCTTTCCAATACTGCTAGTGTTCTTATCCAAGTACGAAAGACAGCGATCCTATTTCAGTGAACTTCGCCCTTCCAAAAGCGCCCTACGATCGTTTTTGTGCAGGTCCCCCAATGATTAGCGAGCAGACTGTATTCCCAAATGTGTTATTGGTCAAGCAATGGCGACGGACAACAGCACCCTGGATAGATCTAATCATGGCAATTGTGATAGATGCATGTATCTGGGAGTCACATCTGGCTTCGGCGAACTTCACTTCGTCTTGCTTGTTGTCGCCATTTGTGTCTATGTCTCCGTGTGTGTCAGTATAATTATGCTAGACAAGAAACTACAAATCTGAAGTTATTCATCATCATTATTGTAGTGTTATCTTGCGTTCAAAGAACACTACAATCCTCATCAATAAGAAATTAAAAATGCATGAACCAGTTTCAGGCATCCTCTTCAAATGAATTACATGCAATGTGTCTCTAGTGGCAGGTTCAGTGACACTGCCAAGTGCAGGGTCACTGGCAGCGTCGCCACCAGAGTCAATGGAAGTGTCAACTGATGTGCTGCAAAGTTCTGCGCCTGGAAGAATATCAGTGGAGCAAACATAGGATACGCCTGACTGTGAACCTAGCTCAAGTGTCAATGTTTGTTCTCTGGATCGTGAAGTCTGTTAGTGACCACTCCATTGCCAATGCTGATTGTGCGGATGTGCATTCCAATAGCCACTTCTCTGTTTTGTGCCATGCGTGTGGTCGCGTCCTGGCCCAATTCAACAGGTTAGAAGAAATTATATTCATAATATAGAGCCACATTTTTTACCAAAAGAAACATGTACTTAATTTCTCTCAGGTTCAACTGTTGTTTACTGATATGTTCTCTCCGTGAGTTGATGCACCGTCCATTAGGTGCTTTATCCCACACTGTTTGCGTTTAGTTTCTCTTGTGTCACTTTCCACCTTCTCGTTCTCCCTTTCTCCTTTCTCCCATCCCCACTGGAGCATATTTGTTCCCTACACTTATCACCTAGTTGCAATGGTAACCACCCTTGTTATGCTACTTATCGACATGTTTCCTTGGTTCTGGTTTCTTGTAATTCATTTGAAGAGGATGCCCGAAAACTGGTTGATGAATTTTGGCGTCCTTATTAAAGATGATGGTAATGAACTTTGGTTTTCTGTCCCTTATAGGCTTCCCGTCTCTAAGAGCAATTGTACAAATAGGTGGAATATAATATAAAGCACTTTTAAAACCCTTTATTACCGGATTACTTGCACAGCATGCACCAGGATTACGAATTTCAGCACAATTTCCAACTTCACCAGGTCATAAATTTTGTCTCCTTCACTTGATTTTCACAATCTAGGGCTCGTTGGAAAGCTGTTGGCCAGAGCAACGCCAGTGTACCAAGCTCCATTATCCAGTCGCCACAGATCAGGCGCGGTAACATAGCAAAGCCGTTCCTTAGAATTTGAAGTTCTCCCAATCCTTTCAAAATTTATCACTCTCTTTTCACTTCTGGTAGGGTCCAGAAACTGACCGTGGTTGGTCCCCTGGGGAGGGAGAAAGACCCAAGTGCCACCAGTATGTGTGGCACGTGTTGTGAGCTGCCTTTGAAGTGAAAATCTTGTCAGCGCCTTTGGGGTTCAGCCCGGTCCCATAGCTCAGTGGTTAGAGCATTACCCATGACAAGCAAGGTCCCGTTTTCGAGTCCTGGTGGGTCTGGCGATTTTTTCTTTTTCAGGCAGTTCACTTCCCCAATTGATCCTTTGAATAATAATAATACCGTAAAATCCCGCCAGAGCGGCCCGTCTCTCCTATCCGCCCTCCCTGACTTCTTGTCAGGGACGTGATTTCTCGTATCTCTGTCGCAGTCTGTGATGCCGTACTGTATTGCAGACGCGTGCTCGACCCCGTTGGAAATGTACGCAACAGTGCCCACTCTCTTGACTAGGGATCGCACAAACCCTTTTTGACGGATCTGTACGACTCGTGGCTCTTGACCTTTGGTCGGTGTACGAGATGCACGAACAGTTTTCGTAGGTTGCGTACCTTTTCATGTAGCACTGAATGCCGCAAGTAGGACTCGCCCATCCGCCCCTCCCCACCTGAAGCGCCGAGGAGGTAGGGGCGCTCTGGCCGGATTTTACGGTAATGATAATAATGTGCTTTGGTGAAATATGATATTACTATGGAAGAGCTTGCTGGATATCTTACGGTCGCATCGAGGCATACTAGTCGACCAGTTTCCATTAGCCATACACCTTGAAGCTGATGTGCCTACAAGTTTAAATCCTGCATTGCATGCATAGAAGACGATGCCTGGAAAGCTTTCTACAGTCTTGCCAGATGGTAGTGGACGAAGTGCCGGACATTTGATCTCTGTTCAGAAATAAGCAGAAGCACAGTTATTCAAACCAGATCCACATGTCCGAGCCAAATCTAAACCATACATCACGTATCTACCAAAATTCATGTTGCCTTCTTCACGCTCATCACATCACCCTGTATGCCTCTGGAAAGTGTCAATGCACAATCATGTCCTGTTTTCTGTTGAGAAGCGGCACGCCACAGGTTGTAGTCTGCTTCTAAACTCATGCAAGATAAAGGTACTCAATATCCACAGCAAACGCTCACATCATCCACTTAACCCGACCATTGTCTGTGGCTCGACTGTGATCAGCCAGTGGGACGAGGTAATGCAACTGATGATAACTCTAGACTCAGGCTGCGTTTACACGCCAACGATTGAAAACGATTTGCGTTTACACGACAATGAAGTACCAAATCGTTGCGTTTACTACGAATGTTTACACGATAACGCCCGAAACGATACCTAAACGGACCAAAATGGAAAAACACTGTGTTTTGAAACGTTTTCAAAACTGTTTTCAAAACGTTTTCGTTCTCGTGTAAACAGGAAAGCTATTGGAAAGAGAGCGAGGTCATGCAGAACATTTGCAGCGGGACTATATTTCGCGGGAAATACCCAACCCTTGCGACCACCGCACGTACCAACTCCAACTAACGTGTCACTTCCCGCCCTTGCGGCAAGCCAGCAAGTGCTAACTCCACCCTGTTCGCCCATTTTCCGTTTTCGTGTAAACGGTTCAAAACGATCTGCCGTTCTCGTGTAAATGGTTTGAAAACGATTCGAGGCCAGCCCGTTTTCGTTCCGTTTATGTTTCGTTTCGTCTCCGTGTAAACGCAGCCTCAGTGCCAACGACTAGGCCTCGGCGGGTAATGCTAGCATTGTCACTGGCATTACGAGCATCGTTTTGAGAACTAGCAATGCTCCAGCATTGTACCCGATTTTGGAACCAAAACAAGCATTAGCGCCCAAAAGTGTCATTTTCTCACTTCATGAGCGTGCATTACTGAATAAAACAGGAGCTCTACAATGTAACGTACACACTGTACTTTGTACCAGCGGCTTTTGGCAGTTTTGCTTAACCCTAGAACTACCAAAATTTCAACTACCCTAGAAGTACCGGAGGCATCATATGACTCCACTGGACTTAAACATACCTGCTTGGAATTATTTTCGGCAATATGTGTAGAAACCGAAGTCCTTGGGGTAAAAGGTACCTTTTAAAAGGAAGAACCAATAACAGGTGCACTATCTTGGAGACCAGCAGCTGGCATTGCGCGCAGCGAAAGGGCGACCTCTCGTCAGTTTACGGAAAAAGAGAAGAGCATTTGCCTGCCATGCTTATCCTGCAAACTCTACATGTCAGTCCATTACCCTGGAAATGGCTGCTGCTGGGCCAACTTGCTGGATTTTTCTCAGCCAGGTTGGTCATTCTTTGACTGCTGTGATAATTACATATTTTACGAGCAAAAGGAGAACGTGGTGTCGCGACTCATAGCAATCGAATAATTTCCGTTCGACGTCGTGTCCGGAGACCATCTTCGTGATCCAACCTCAAGTAGCAGAGTATCGTATTTCCCCGTAAGTTAGTACGTACTAACTTTCGAACTTAGCAGCCACATGAGTACTAACTTTCGGGGGTGCAGATGACCTATGTGATGCTCTCGCCAGCTGTGCCCGGCAAATTGCCACACAGTACGTAAGCCCAGCATCGAAGGAAGCCTACACGGCGTGCCGGCTTATCCCTCTAGATAAGAAACCGGGTGTGCGCCCAATAGGCATCGGCGAAACCGTCCGTCGTATTTTCGGCAAGGCTATTCTGAGAGTGGCGGGGAACTCTGTTCGTGAGGCGACAGGGTCACTGCAGATGTGCGGAGGCCAGGAATGTGGCATTGAGGCGGCCATTCACGCCATGCACGACACATTCCATGAAGAAGACGTAGACGCTGTGCTAATGGCGGATGCATCCAATGCGTTCCATCGCCTTAACAGAGAAGCATGTATGCGCAACGTAGCGCACCTCTGTCCAGCCATCACACCCGCTATCGTAAACTGCTACCGTCAGCCAGCCTGCCTATTCGTGGACGGGGAGTGCCTCCTATCGCGAGAAGGCGCAACGCAGGGAGATCCTCTTGCTTTGCCGATGTACGCTTTGGGGGTACTCCCCCTGGTGCGCAGAGTGGCAACCCCAGGAACACGCCAGAGCTGGTATGCGGATGACTCGTCCCTGGGTGGCGGGCTCGAACCTCTCCGCCAGTGGTGGGACCGACTCGTCGGGGATGGGCCGGCGTTCGGGTATTTCATTAACCCCAGCAAGTCCGTCCTCGTCGTCAAGCGGGACAAGCTAGAGGCAACCGAGACCATCTTCGCCGGTACCGGTGTGTCTATCACCACTGACGGGTGCCGCCACCTTGGACCAGCCATCGGAACTGATCAGTTTGTGCAGGAGTTTGTGGCTTCCAATGTGGCCGGCCACCGGGTCGAAGGAGCTGTGCAAGCTGACAGATTTCGCCCGGTCACAGCCTCAAGCCGCTTACTCTGCACTGGTGAGCAGCCTCCAACACCGGTGGTCCTTCCTGTGTCGGGTTCTCGATGGTGCTGCAGAACAGCTGGCACCCCTGGAGGACATCATCCACCGCCGCCTAATCCCTGCCATTAGTGGACGGACGGCGCCCAGTGAAGCTGAGCGCATTTTGCTCACTTTCCCCTGCCGGCATGGAGGCCTCGGCGTGGCCAGCCCTACCACTTTTGGCTCAATCACCACTGCCCTGTACACCAAGATCATGACGCAAGAGGAGCACCTCGATGATGCTCTTGCCTGTGTCTGCAGGGCCAAGAGTCAGGCTCGCTCTGAGGCCAGAAGGGCAATGAAGATAGCTGCCGATACGTTCCGAGCACAGCCAACTCGATCTCGCTATCAGTCTGGCAGAGGAGAAGGAAGCATCAAGCTGGCTCACCTGCCGAACCATCGCTCGCCATGGCTTCGCTTTGTTGAAGGGGGAATTCCGGGATGGCCTCTGCCTCTGTTACGGTTAGACGCCTTCTCGCCTGCCCACCACCTGTGTTTGCGAAAAGGCATTCACTACTGCTCACGCCTTGTCCTGTCCTTTCAGTGGGTTCCCCTCGATCCGCGAGAACGAGGTGCGCGACATACTGGCAAGCTCATTGAAGGGTGTCTCCCACATCGTCGCAGTGGAGACACATCTGCAACCCCAGACTGGGGAGCAGTTTCAGCTCCGGTCAGCATCAACCGAGGATCAAGCTCGTTTGGTTGTGGTGGCCAGTGGAGTTGGGAGGGGGGGGGGGTCGGCTCGAACGCACTTTTATTGATGTACGGGTGTTCAACCCTTATACGTCTTCGAACCACACCTCCTCTCTCTCTGCCTGCTACCAGCACTACGAGCAGGAGAAACGGCGTCGATATGATCGGAGAGTCCGAGAAGTGGAGCGATCCACTTTTCTCCCCTTTGTGCTCTCTTCCACTGGAGGATGCGGCAAGGGTGCCGCTGCACTGGTGAGCCGGATTGCACATCTCCAGTCGCTACTTGGGAAGGAGGCGTATTCTGTGCTAATTGCCCACCTCCGCTGCAGGCTGTATTTCGCCCTGCTGCGTTCGAGTGCCATGTGTCTGCGTGGGGCTCGCCGAGTTTGGCAGCCTCCAATGGATGGCTGTGCCTCCCTGGCTGTCGTGGAGGCTAGGGTGTCTCGTTGGGCCTTGGCCCGTGATTGTGCGGATTATGCTGTGCTTCTCTTGCTGTCTGATCACATGTGACGTCATCATTATGTGATTTGTTTTCAATACTCCGCCATGGAAAATTGTGTTTTGTTCGCCTGTAAAAGAGGCTTTTATAAGTAAAAAAAACTAACTTTCGGGGTGGTAGTATCTCTCGGGGAGTACTTTTTTATCGGGTTAAATGGCACGCAGTGGGAAGCCTGCGCATCTCTAGTGTCCGTGCATATGATGTATGTACTGTACGGTGTCTGTACATGTAGGACGGGTACGAACTTACTATCTTTCGGAGGGAACTGTCTTTCGGGGTGATAACCTCGGCAGTGGAAAGTGTATTTTTTATAGGGGGGTACTAAGTTATTTACGGGGAAATACGGTAGTTCCTGGAAACTATTTTTAGGGATTTTACCTGATTATATGGCGTCCATTCCTATCCAGCCTAAGGGCCGTCGGCAGATTATTGCGGGTACAGAGGATGCCTCTTGCGTAAATTTGCGAAACCAATGCCATGATATTGCCTTCACTCAAAGTAGAGTCCTCTCCAATTTTCTGTTTCCCTCCTACCTTGTGCACTTGATCATATTCCGGTCAATAAATGCAAATAATGCATCTGTCCCATCTTCAAAATTGTGAATATCTCGGAAAAGCCCGCAAACTTCGGAAGCAACAACAGGTTGCGCGCGTCCGCGCTTGCTTGGTGCAACACATTTTCCACTATCTACCAATTTTGCCAGAGAACCCAGCTTCATGAAGGAAATCCTGCCCGAGTTTTGGAGATTGATGTTCTGTTATGTGTATGGCTCCATAGCTTTATCACCACCATTATCTGCTTGCTCCCTCGACTCCGGTTCCGTATCAGACTGATCGAGAAGCCGGAGCAATTAGTATTATATATATCTTCATCTGGAGCATATAACTATGTGTCTCTGTGTTCGGTCACTTCTAATTGCTCACGCACAATCCTCCAGGCACTCTCCTCGCATTTATCCACAAACTCCTGCCCAAAAGATTTTAACATCAAATGAAATGCTTTATCGGCAGTGACACTGCGCCTACTGAACATGGCTTCCGCCAGACCAACCTAAACTCAAAGGACGTTCCTAGAAGGTTATAACTGCCCTGGCACTTCATATCGTTCTATGCTGCAGATGACATAGTGAATCACTTTCCAAACTTAGGACAAACAAATTTGTCTGTTTCGACAGGATTCGAGATTGCGATATTGACCGTAACGACACGTGAAATGTACATATTAGCATGCCCATATGTACAAATCAGCACCTTCATGGTCCTCAATCTCCTTGCTTCCAAATGTATTCCTCTTCACGTTATTCACGTGTGATTCTAAGCCAAATTCGCCCTTTATTGATGCTTATGGTATGTGGGGTCATATGAGGCGCGCGGTAGTTCTAGGTAGCACCCCCTAGCATTTCCGAACTGTACTAAATGTTTGAAACCACAACCCACTGCCATTAACAAAATACAAAATAAATAAAAGTCACAAAATGTGGGGAGATTCTAAGTCCCAATATAACAGCAATACCATTTTGAAATTCGCAAATGCATCATATGATGCCTCCGGTACTTCTAGGGTTAAACGTTAGCCTGCGACTTCGCAACGTGCGTCTCTAAAAGCCAGTTAGGCCAGTAAAGGAAATGATAATACAGCGGGCAGTGGCATTACTGAAAAGCAGTATGTGCTGGGAGGGATCGCATGAATGGGTGGTACTGTGGGTTTTTCCTGATGTCGGGCTGGAGCCTGTTCCACAGTGATACACATCGGAATGAGGCAGAATGTGTGCCAGCGGATGTCTTAGTGACTGGAAATTTAAGTGCTGGATTTCCCTGACTACGTGTAGCACGGCGGGCATTAAGGGGACTGAAAATATCGGTAAGCAATGTGCTGCATTTACCCTGAAGACAGCGCGAAGTGTAGCCAAGGAGCTTGTGGCAGTACATAACGTTTAGCGAGTGCAAGTGCAATTGGCAATACAGCAGCGCAGATGGGGATGCAAACGGAGCGTTGTAAACACAGCGGACTGCGCGCTTGAGTAGACGCTCTAGTCGCTCGGGCTGATGTGAGGTGAGGCCAGCAGAGAAACAGTTACTAGCATACAGAAGTCAGGAAGGGTCAGGGACTTCAGGTACGTGATGCGGCACGGGAGGGGCATGCAGCGCCTGTTTCTAAACAGTACAGCTTTTTTACAGGCAGCTCGCTTGGCGATCTGGTTGACCATGGGGGTCCAATTGAGATCGCGGTGCATGTGGACACCGAGATACTTTGCGGATTCTACTTGTGCCAGTTGAACTCCAGAGCACAAAATGCTGACACGAGGATTCACAGAACGATTGGCAGGGATGAACAAAATCTGGGTTTTACTCTCGTTTAGTACCAGGTTCCTGCTGGCAAGCCATCTGGCCAGGTGCGTAACTGCAGAAGATATACTACGTTCCAGCAGATGTTTGTCACGCTACTAATTTAGAGCATGATGTCATCTGCAAATTGAACTGTCCGCAGTCTCCGCACACCATACGGTTGCACTTCAGCTGCCACACGAGGTCGTGGCCCAGGCAGGACCAAAATGTCACGGCTTGATCACACATTAGAGCTTGCGGTAATGTAGGTTAACACATTGCACAAGCAACCACTTCACACGCACTCCAGCGGCTTCCAAAGAGCCCGCAGATCCCACGCTATTCATTGATGCATGTCAAGTAACACGTACATGCACGCTGTGGTGGCATGTAACATGCCGGAACTCACCTGAACTCGCCAGCCAACCAGCCATATGCGGCTGCAGCACACATCGGAGCTTAAACTCGTAACGCATACACCATACTTCGCGCCGGCCACATTGCCACTTCATATTTGCTTTGCTTGGGTAGTGAGAAGAACACCGGTTTGTTCCTTTCTCACCCACCCACCTTTGTGCGTGGACATACATACACACTATCATACAGGCCGTCCACACTCCGCCCAGTTCATGGGTGCCCATTTCATGGGCTGCACCTCGTGCGTGGACTATATCCTACATGATTATCACATGCCAGATTCGGTTGCCCACCACTCCATGAATCCTCCATATGATGTGTGCTCTCCACTGGTCTGCAATAGCGAGTGCATGCGTGTTATTATTTCATGGACTGCACTTGAGGTGCAGTCTCTGCTCGTTGCTGCACGCGATCGATTTTTACGGTGCTCGCTTGTTCATACTTGCTCTGTGACGCCCTGACGGCCCTAGGGCTATGGGCTTATGATGATAATGATGACTGTCGTGGAAAATTGCTTCAAAGGTCTTTCCCATTTTTTCTATTTGGAAATCAAGGACTCTTCCACCTATTGAAGCGTCCGCTTCTATACCAGATTGTCAGTTTCCCTTCAGAAATACAAAAATATACGAGGGAACACTGCATATCTTACCATTGCATCGGGGTGTAATTGACGACCAGCTTCCATCAGTCATGCATACTCTAGCTGACTTGCCTGCGATTACGTATCCTTCATTGCAGACAAACTCAGTGATACCGAAGAGGCCTTGAGAGCTTCTAACAATAGTGCCGTTATCAGGTGGGTGAAGAGGCAGACATTTGATTTCTGTTCAGAATAATGAGAATAATTATAAAAATATTCGCGGACCCACGTGATAATCAATTCTAAAATGTATTTAATGTGTGAATGGAGAATCACATACTTGGAGGGTCTTTATACCACTGGCCTCTACGTTTAGCTGTGTGCCTTTGGTGAGTTTCAAAGCCCATTGACAGGGATGTTAAGCAATTAATTTTGTAGAAAAAAAGGACCAAGGAAATTCAAGTTACGCTACAATGTCGGCTTACACCACCAGCCCAATTCATCAATCAGTCCAATTAATTTTGTCACTATCTTTCGCCATTTTTATGTCAAATCATTACCAGGTTATGCGATGTTGCGATTGTGATCGTGAATAGGACTCCTCTGTTTCCAAGTACCTCATAATCAATACTGGTTGCACTCTGGTGTTTGCTGATAGTAACATTTCTGTCGCTTTGAAAAACTGCCTTTCGGCCTAGAAAAGCCTCTGTGATTAAAATAACTGTGCTGATGAGGCCTTTATGGCCGAAACAGCTTGCTGTCTACAGCATTTGGGTATTACGCTCCTCGGATTTCGTCTGGTTGAGCACTGTGGGTAGGCGGCGCTAGTGCTGCTGCATCACGCATTGCCCGCTACTTTTCGCAGTTTTGAGCACTCTGGCGCTAGAGCGAGGAGCTATCATTATGTCGGTGGTGCCTCCTTGCACCATTGCTGGTAGCTCGGCCTATTTAGCTCGTAGATGTACTGCTGAGGCCTTTATGGCCGAAATAGCTTGTTGTCTACAGCATTGTGTAAAAAAGTATACATTTTAACCTTTTCGTAACTCCGAGTTTCACGAACTTAATCGATCATCAGACGAAAATTGGAATGTTCGTCTGATGATCGCAGGATGCTCGAGAAAGCAGCCGAGTATGCCTATAAGCTTTAGAAAAAAGAGCAAAACAACAGATAATCATCAGGAAAAGGACTCAGATCATTGTCATGATATGGACTGGGAGCTTTGTGAAAGTACAAGACAATATGCAAGAGCAATACCTAATTCACAAGCACACGCTGAACGTTAGGGAAATGTCCTCTGGTGGCTGTTAAAATGATATTCCAAATCGACAAGCAGCGCTTTGTATGGACCTTCAAGAGCAGGTGTGTACATAACAGCCTCATTTGGCATCAAACCCTGTTTTTCGGATGCCATTTTTTACTCCTTCTCAAAAAGGATCTGATTATGTCAAAAATGATGCCTTCTATAGTAGGTGCGCATAACAGCCTCATTGGGCATCTGCTCTTGGTTTTATGCTTCTGCTAAACAAAGTAGATAAATATGGTGGTTCACACACCTGGCAATATGGCGGTAAACACACGCCTACGCACGCACGCCCTCTAGGCTGCAAAGTTCTGGCACAGAGCTCTCCTTCTTTGCACCACCACCACCACCATCACCATCAGTTCGAGCCTGGCGCGGGGTCGAAACGTACGTAGCAATCATGCTATGTCGTTGCTGTGTCGTCTTTATTATTATTATTTTTTATATTTCACGATGGCGTAACGCCAATAAGGACTATTGATAAGTGTGATAGAACTGATACAAGCCAGGAACAGCCAGATGCCAGAATTCACCTCGGAGGCAAGAAGCAATGGATCATGAAAAACAAGCGAGGGCAATAACGTTAGCAGGGGTGATCGAGATAGTTAAGTACACGTTCGAGATACCAAAAACCAGGGGGATGCGCGGAGCAGGAACAGGAACCGTTCAAAAGAAGACTGGATGCATTGTTTCGGAAAAAATTCCACGAAGTTGGGTTGTGACGTCAACAGGGAGTGGGTTGTAGAGGGTGAGGGCACTGTCGATGTGGGAATCTCGGTGCCTGTTTGTGTTTGCATCTCCTTGTCTGTCGAAGGGTGTATAATTGGTGTTGATGTTGTGGTGCAAGATGTGGTTGCTGCAGGTGTAGTGGGGAGGTTTGGTCTTCTTCTATGTGCCATGCGCGATTTGATGTACCAGCCTGCTACTGTATAGCAGGAAATTTTCGGACGGAATTTATTTTCGTACGATTTCGTACACGGCTTCTTTTGTACTAAAATTAATTCCGTACTAAAATTTGTTTATGTGAAAGTATGTACATCATACATATGCGTACTACATGCAAACACGTGTATTTAGCATGCAGCACTGTACGAAAATATAATCCGTACGAAAGGTCGAAATTCGGCTTTGTCCGAAAATTTCCTGCTATACAGTATATCTTATACCGCCAACCATGCATCGACTAGGCGCCAGGCGCAAACTGATGGTGGTGGTGGGGAGAAGGAGAGCTCTGTGTTGGAACTCTGCAGCCTAGAGAGCGTGTGCGGGCGGGCGTGTGTTTACCGCCATATCGCCAGGTGTGTTTTACCACCATATTTATCAACCATACGTACAGCTGCAGTGGTGTCTTCAACTTCATTCTGCTCAAAAAAGAACCCTCATTATGCCAAATATTATACAGGCATAATCCGTTTACCCCTACTATTGGACCATAAACCTCCCCAATGTGACATTACACAACGAAGCAAGGTTCAATATCGAGCAGCCAGTGGTTCTCCAAGCAAAACAGCGACTACTTCTGGACACTGACCCAAGTTACCTTGTGAGGTTTAGCTAACCAGCTGGCGCCTATCGACATCTTGGGTCGTTGGAACCAAAAGATGAAGTCAACCTGGCAATTGTAATAAGAGTTATACAATTGCTATTCGCAGTGGCTTTTGCTCCACCGGGAGACGAAGCGCCCTTCTATTTTAACATAATCCAGGCATGCTTTCCTTTCGATCACAGTTTTGGTCTTTTTGCTGGTACATAATTGCTTCTTTTCCTTTTCTGTCTGCCTTCTTACCGCTTTCCTTGTTACACGTGGTTGTAAAAACCCTGCAATCACCACTCAAAGTTGTCATTGGTTTCTCCAAACAGGTATAGCTTGGAATAAAACTAAACTGAACTAAACTAAACTACATAATGAAGAATGGTTGAGTCCAGATATTAGTTCTTGACCAGCGCTATATTTTGCCACAATATGTTTTGAACCAGTTGAGTCCAGAAATTTGTTCTTGACGAGCGCTATAATTTGCCACAACATGTTTTTAACCACAATTATTATCAGTCTAGGATTAAGGCTTTTCTAACAGAAGTGACACCATGCAACTCTTCGTTACCCCGCCAATATTGAGGCACAAGACCTGGCGTCATGGAAACTTGAATTACCCGATATGAAGTTTCACATGCATCAGCATGACGAGAGAAAAGGCTTGGTGAAAAAAGGAAATTAGTAAGTAAACGAAAGATATTGTAATAGGTAGCCGAGTGGTAGGCGCGGTGAAATCAACAATAATTACTTTTATTCTACTTTCAGGTACACACCTGAGATATAATCGTTCGTGAAAGAAGAAGCAGCAAAATAACTGACTTTCTCTCCGGTGCTCACCTAGAGGCTGAATCCTTATTCTTCGAGTTAGCTTTCATTGCTATCCAATCTAATCTAATCTTCTCTTCATCAAAACAGAAATGCGCAGCCGCTTATATGCAGCAGACGCCGTACGCTTACATACGGAGATACACTAAATATACATCAGGCAAAGCTCCGTATTAGTTCCGTACTGCTTCCGTATTGGTCGGGCAGGGATACTACACCCTCCCTTCCTACAGATAATCACGCCCTCGTGATTTTCAAAAAATTAGTGAGGAGTTACGAACAACAGCGTCAACCGGAAGATGGCAAATTATATCGGAAATGATAACGTTTAGAGTAGACAGAAGAAATGAACTGATAACAAATCATAAAATAGAAGTAAAAGCACACCAGGTTCACACGATCTCACGGGGTCAAAAGGGAAAGAACTGTCCTCCAAATAGGACCTGAAACCACAGCACTCTTGCTGCACGCTGGCACAACCCGCCAGGAACATCGCAGTTCAAAAACCGAACTGGATACACTATAACTATAAGGGGCGTTGTCACACACATTGTCCCACGTTAGCTGGGTAAACCGTGGCTCACCATGATCAGACGCCTACCAAACTAAACTGGATTCACACACTCGCATAAAGGAAGACTGAAGAGAAAAGGGAGACTGAAGGAAGACAGGAAAGAAAATGCCATACCTGGAATCAGCGTTAGTAACCACGGCGGCGGCTGGAGCTATGGCGGAGGGCAAGCCAGGTTTTATCTTCATCTTGGTTGAGCCGGTGACTCAGAGCGGCTAGCTCGGCGTCAGACAAATAACCTCCCTCCTCGTCTTGAATCGTGGTCTTCACGTTGTCGATTGCATCGCTTTGCGCGACGTAAAGAGTGATTGTCTAGCCAGGAAGAGTGTTGACGAAAATCTGCATCCCACCACGGAGGCGAAGTACCAAGTGAAGAGTGGGCTCCTGCTTCCGACTGCGTGCCGGCGAAAATCAAACGCTGCTGGTCTTGGGGACTACCCTCCTTGTCTTGGGCAGCAGACTGCCTGTTGTCGTCCTCATCAGCTTCGCCATCACCACCGGTAGTATACATGTAGGTTGCGGGTCGCTTGGAATCGCCATCGGAGTCTCCAGTGGACGCCATGCGGAGGGAAGGGTGATCCACGCTAGCATCCTCACTGTGCTGCAAGCTAATAAGCAGGGTCAAGCCCAGGAAGGCAAGAAACATGATTCTCATCATGATTCGTCGCAGGGAGCTGCAGCGGGTTGAGCCATGGGGGTCTGGGGTCGAATCACGTTGTTTTATTTAAAACTACACCGCTGCCACCAATGTAATAGGTAGCCGAGTGGTAGGCGCGGTGAAATCAACAATAATTACTTTTATTCTACTTTCAGGTACACACCTGAGATATAATCGTTCGTGAAAGAAGAAGCGGCAAAATAACTGACTTTCTCTCCGGTGCTCACCTAGAGGCTGAATCCTTATTCTTCGAGTTAGCTTTCATTGCTATCCAATCTAATCTAATCTTCTCTTCATCAAAACAGAAATGCGCAGCCGCTTATATGCAGCAGACGCCGTACGCTTACATACGGAGATACACTAAATATACATCAGGCAAAGCTCCGTATTAGTTCCGTACTGCTTCCGTATTGGTCGGGCAGGGATACTACAATATTGCGATATCAGCGGTGATTTGTGAAGACAGCGACTGCTCCGAACGTCGGAACTCACGCGTCCTGCTGACTAACATGTCACTTGACTGACTCACGACTGCGTCTGGAGCACAGGAAATGCCAGTTGCACCCTCCATTCCGCAAACCTGCAAGAAAACACCACTTCCTCAGCCTGCTCAACACACAGTGTATGGTGGAATTAATCCTTAATCAGTTGAGCTTGAGTAGGGTAATGAAATATGTGCTCAGAGAACAATCGTATTATGTATTGCTATCAGGACCAAAGGATCACTAGGGATTCCAACTTCCTGCGATGTTTCGCTTCCAGCACGACAGACACCTCCTGAGCACCAGGCTGCAGCGTGAGTCAGTGTCGTACATGGAGTCGTGAGTACAGACGTAGAGAGCCATTGGCCATTCCCAATGCTGTCACCTCCAGCCACCTACTTCCATTCCCAAGCAAGGGACAACAGCACGCAAGGTGCTACGACATCTGCGGTGATTGGTAAAGAAAGTGTCTGCTCCGAACGTCGGGGATCACGACACTGAGAGCCCACCATCTAGTCGCATTCCCAAAGAGGAGGTGACAGACTTGTGAATGGCATTTTAGCCCTGAATGTCTGTTGTCACAACTCCATGTGCGACATAGACTAACGCTACTTCCTCGTGCTCACATGTAGTGTGTTTGTCTGGAAGAGGAGCGTCACTGTACGTTGGTATTCCTCTTGATCTTTTGGCTTGTGAACACGCCATAATGCAGTGCTCTCCCAGCGGATAGTCTACGGGTCTACTCAAGCTCAACTGCTGGGGGCGAATTCCCCGAAGCACTGTGTATTGAGCAGGGAGTGGGGCTCTCTTTCAGTTTTGGCGAGTGGAAGGTTCTGAGGTTTCCTCGTGTGCTCCAGATGAAGTCTTGAGCCAGTCAAGCACCAATTCAGTCGGCAGGAAGGTCGACCTCCGAAGTTCGGAGCAGACACTTGTTTCATTAGCAAGAGCGGTCCGCAAATTAAGTGCGTTTGGTATAGACACATTGAGGGCTGTGGTTCACCAACCAATAGCTGATATTGCAAGAAGCGCACTTTAAGACGCGCAGATGTTTGAGCAAAGATTGCCTGAACTGAAAGTCCTTCGTCATTTTACTGGTGGCAGTTTCTCTTTGGACTTCTTTCCCTTTTCACCCTAATTTGCTGCGTACATGACTGTAGTGTGAGCAACCTCTATCATTTCACTTACCTGAGCACGTAGGTGATGAACTGGACCATTGTCCACTGACAGTACATGAAGTATAGGATTGACCAATAAGCTTGTAGCCTGTGTGGCAGGAGAATGTAGCAATGTCGTACCCTTTGTGTGACGAGTAACTAACATTGCCGTTTGAAGGCGCGTCTGGAGAGGGACAAGCCACCCCTGAGACAGTAGGTTGAAATGGGGAGATAGAAACACGTCAAAATCAAAGTCGATTTGGGGGTATATGGTAGCAAATAGAGTAATGAATTCCTTTTGTAAATTCATTTCCGTGGAGGAAATTTACCTATTTACCCCACACTTGATCTTTAATTTGTTTTAAAGGAAGTAACGATCATTACTCAAACGGCTAGTTATAAAACTTGCCACAAGAATTATAACTTGCTCTCACCCTGTACTGTTGTCTCACAATTCCTTTTCGAGAAAGATTTTCCTTCATCAGTTCAAGACCAAACCCAGTTCAATAGAAACTCGTAATCTAAATGTACATTTAACGGCAATTGTCTTAGAGTTTAGAATTAATTACTCGTATCAATGCAGTCACTCCTGGCTTACAAGGTAATTCTCGTCGGAACACACTCCTACGGGGTTAAAAATAATTGACAAGACACTTTTTAGATGTTTGCCTGGGGGTATGAAGCCAATGAGAAAACCTAATGAGCACTTGGTACCTTAAGCCAAATGTGACCAAAACCGAGCTCCTCCTGTTTCCCCCTCCCACAGATCCAGTGCCCATCTTCCACTTTCCCGATGATCCCGGTCACCCTATCTCTGTAGCGCCCCACCATAAACACCTTGGCATTGTCATAGATTCCGCCCTCTCCTGGTCTCACCATGCTGATCATGTGTCGTCCAAAGTATGCCGATCTGTCGGCATAATGTCAAGTCACTTGTCCCATTTGCCCAAAAATTGCCGGATTAATTTTTATAAATCATACATTCTTCCCCTCTTCACGTACGGCTTCCCTGCCTGGTCCACCATTAACAAAACCGACATAGGTAAATTAGAAGTTCTCCATCGCCGTATACTGCGAATCATATTCCGTACTGATCGTTATACCTCAAATCTAGACTTGTATGCTGCTGCATCCACTACCACTCTGCAACATTACCTTGATGCTTCCAAGTGCACCCTGGCGCATTCAATTTTCCTTGACCAGCACCCTGCTCATATACAGTCCCTTAATTGGTTCCATTCAGGTGGCTCCACCCGAAGCTGCGTTCGTCTCCCCCTAGCTAGGTCTACCCTATTCGTAAATTCCCCTTTCTTTTCCTCCTACTCCACGTGGCTCCAACTGCCTCCCAGTGTTAGACAAGCTCCAGATATGCCCAAATTCCGTACCCTCGTCAGACAGCACTTCAGTATCTCCCAGTAAGCAAAGTCACAGTCACCACTTCCGCTGCATAGCTCGCTGAGCATCCCATTGCTTTGTAAGTTGCTAATCCCTTCCCACTTTGTGTACGTGCTCTTAATTTTCTTTTTTTCTCTTCTTCCGTGGTTGGTCTCACCCTCTCCTCAATTCCATTGGCTGTCTTGACATGCCACGAGGTGCAGAAATAAATAATAATAATAATAATTGAATTGTTTGCAGGCAACCTGCCTACACTCAAGAGAGCACTGCATTTCACACAAATCCATTGGTATCGTTACAACGTTTCGGTCTTTATGACCATCATCAGGAATGAAGTGGACATGGAAAGAACAGCAGTATAAAAGAAGGAGGCAAGCAAGCAAAGCGCGGTACATAGTGACAGCGCGCGTAGAGAAGTGCAAAGCACGTCATGGCGGGTGTGCATTACTACATATACATGACAACACAAGCACAAACGGCGAGGAAAGTAGATACTGCGCTACAGCAGTGATAACAGCCCAGTTACAGTCTCACACCACCAGTGAGGTATCTAGAGCCCCGCGCCACTCGCAGTAAGGTGGTGTTATAGCAGATCCCAGCCACTGTTGTTATTAATTTCCGGGGATCGCTCCCTGATATTGATGGCCTCCCGGATCCTCCTCCTGGGGCGGTCACGCTCAGAACCGAGAACCCGGATACCTGAGAACGCCGTTGCTCCCAATGGCAATGGGTCAGATGCATGCTTGGCCGCGAAATGCTCACCCAGCGCGGTGCCGCTCACTGTGTTGCGTGCGTCGTCGTTGTGTTCTTTTGTCCTGGTAGCGAGGCTGCGGTACGTCTCTCCGACATATTTATCACCACATTTGCACTCGAGGTGGTATACCACGTTTCGCTCTGTGCATGCTTCTGAACCGGACATGCAGGCGACACAAGCAGCCTTGGGCCGCCCCCGTTTACGGGGCTTGGACGGGTCTACATACCTGCGGCATGGTGGTTTGCGGAGGGCAGACGTGCAAATCATAGAACTTAGACGGCGGTTCCTGTAAATCAGCTGGGCATTTATCTTGTACTTCCGGAGTAATTTATGAATTTTGTTGTGGATATACTCGGTGTGAAACGGTAGGTTGAGGGTGACACGGTATTCATTCTGCACTCTGACACGTCGGGGGCGCATAGCTCGTTCACGTGCCGAAACTATAACTGACTCTGGGAAGTTGTTGAATTTTAGGATGTTGGTTACTTTTTCTTCACTTCTTTTTAGGGTGTCGGCATCGGAGGATAGGCGGACGGCACGCAGGAACTCAGAGGAAGCAATTGCTTTCTTTTGCTGGTTGGGAACTGACGAGTTGTAGTCTGATACCAGTCCGCTGTGACATGGCTTGCTGTATAGTTCATAGGATATAGATCCATCTGGTGAGACATGGACGGTCGTGTCCATGAAATTGATTGAGCCAGTCAACTCCGTGGATTGGTGAGTGAATTTAATATTAGGATCGGCATTATTGAAGTGATCTAGGAAACTCTGCAGAAGTTCCGGACCGAGGTTCCACACAATGAAAACATCATCGATGTAGCGCTTGTACAGAACTGGGCTGGCAGGTGCACTACGCAAGAGCGAACTCTCTAGGTCATGCATGTACAGGATGGCAAAGGGGGGCGCTAGGTTATTGCCCATAGCCACACCATCCTTCTGGTGGTACACCTGCGCTCCAAACCGGAAGTAGTTGGAGCTCAGCACATGTGCGAGGAGCTCCTTGACCTGCCCAATTCGGAAACCGAACAGATCGATGCTGCCCTCGTGTTGTCGGAGGACTCTCATGACTGCTGCAATGCCATCGTTAATCGGGATGCTAGGGTAAAGGGCCACCACATCCATAGTCACAATGATGGTGCCGGGCGGGGCCTTGAGGTTGGGAAACGCGCTCCTCATACACTGGAGTGCTTCAACAGTGTTCTCCAGGTGTGCTGGCACGAACTGGAGACATTGATTGAGGATGCGTTCGAGGACTATGGAGATGTTTGTAACTGGGCTGCCGCAGGCCGCGACGACTGGTCTGAGAGGAATATTGGACTTGTGGTCTTTTGGAAGACCGTACATTTCAGGGAAGCTGTTGTCACCCGGCATCACGGCTGTGTATAAATCCTTTTCCAAGGATCCCTCGCAAACTCGGCGGAGTATGTTTCGGGTCTCCTCCTCCCACTGGTCGATAGTAAGCTCAACCTTCTCAAACCGGGACTCGTCCGACAACAGGGATTCTGCCTTCTCCAGGTAAGTGGTCATTTTCATTGCTACAAATTTGTTGCTTTTATCAGATTTTTTTATGATGACCGACTCGTCCTTGCCGACCTTCATGAGCTGCTCACGATCAGAGTGAGACAGGTTCGGCTGCGGCACTCGCGAGTTTTTGTACAGGGCCATTGCTTCGCGCTTGAAGCTCGCCAGGCTGTACTCTTCGTCCTTGGACAGTTTAGGGCCCTGCTGGAAACCATGTGCCTTCAGGTGCCAGATCTTGGGTTCAAATTTGGCGGGACCTCCGTCAGCCATAGATGGCTGCTGTTCCGAGGACTGCCTCCACCAGCGAAGAGAGTACGCCATTCTTTCGACGCCCACCTCGACGTCTTGCATAACTCTCTGGTTGGCTTTGCCAGCCGACGGAACAAAGCCCGGCCCGAGTCTAAGGAGGTCCAGCGCCTCACTCGACACACAGTTGTCTAAGTCAAGAGCACATCCAGAGCGGTCTTGCGTCGTGACATTGTTGCGGTGACCACCTGCAGGCAGCTGGCAATGTAGACCCGTCCAAGCCC